CAGGACAAGAGCGGACAAGCTTCCACCCCCGGCTTCGTCACTTGCGGTCGGCCGGGCGCAATCAAAACCTAATCAGCCCTCCAACTCCCCCCCCCCTCTCCGAAAGAACGCCTTTCGGAGATTTCGGCTCGCCGCGCGCGCCAAGGGGGATGAATTTCGGGGGCTGGTATCGCGCGAGCCGCCCGGAGAAGGAGGGTGGCGGGCGCGCGCGCGCGCGCGACCCGGGGACCGGAGGGACGGAGACTGTGGAACGGGGCAGAGCGTATGGTAATGGCGCGTAATACGATCTGATTGCATTTATGATGAATGGGGGTCGCGCGACGCGGCGCGACGCGGCGCGGCGCGGCGTGACGGCGGCGACGGGGACGGTCGGGGGTGGCGGGCGCGGACGGGGAAGGCGACGCGTGTCGGGCGGGCGGTCGGAAATTCTGCTTGCGGTTTAATGACAGCGCCAGCGCTCGCTCGTTCACTCGTTCCCGTTCGATTTTCGACCCCTTCGTGCGCTCGCTCTGCCGCCGACGCCGCCGCCGTCGCCGCCGCCGTCTCGTCGATCCGCGCCACCCTCTCTCTCGCTCGCTCGCTCTCACCCTCCACGCGTCGAGCTGCCTGCAGGCACGCACGCACGCACGCACGACCACGCTCGACCGGCCCCCGGGGTGTTTATCCCAATTTGCGCGACGAGCCGCGCGCGGATTCGAGAGGCATTCTTTTGTATCTCGCGTATCTTGGAGAGAAAGAGAGAGAGAGAGAATTTTGTCAGCCGAATGCTCATTTCTACCGATGTAAATTAAGTTTTAATCTCGGCTCGACTCACCTCTTATCTTTTTCTAAGAATTGGAAAGGGATAAGAAGCGAGTTTAAGTCGAGATTAGGGATAATCCGCGTTGACAGAAGTGGACGTAAACGGAGAGTAAAAGTTATATGGGATTTCAATGCGCGCGCGCTCTCTTGCCAAAACGCTCGGGGAAAAATTATCTTCCCCGCGAATTTCCCCGATAAGTCAAGGCCCGAGCGAGGCCTCTCCGGACGCTCCGAATTAGAAATCTCTTTCGCGCGCGTTTAATCCCGAATACTTTTTTCAGGCTTCCCCCCAGGTCGGAGAGCCAGTCTTCCGGGCGCGACGATGCGTGCCAGGGATAACGATTTTACGAACCGCACGCGGACCCCGAGGATATCGTATCGCGCGCACGGATCTTCCCATCGGCCGCGGACGTGCGACGTCACGGGCGGATATCGGGATATCGTGACGAATCACCAGCATTCGCCGGGGAAATTTCTCACACCTCCCCCTGGCTGACCGACGTGAATGATGATTCCCCCTCGTCCCGGTTATCCGGGATTTGCTAAGAAAAGCAGGCACGCATGAAGGTGATAAATTCTGGAACCCCCGCGCGCGCGCGTGTGCGCGTCAGCATTTCAAAGAAAATTATTTATAAAGGAAACATGGTACAACTAGTAGGCCCACTCTCTGTCGGCCCCTTCGATTCTTTGCGGTCCCGTTCACGTGGTGTTCCGCCAGTATTCTGGGCAATAATCCAGCGACGTATGTGCGCGTACGTACTGTAGTTTTGTAGCAAAACTACAGACTACCGTACATACAACTTTTCTCCCATCGGTTCTGCCCAGAACAATGTCGGATGCGCACAAGGGATCGACGCGAAACGAAAGAAATGACAGAGAATGGACTAGTTGTACTGGGAAGAAAGTCCCCTATTGCGAGACAGCGTACAGTTTCTGCTAAATTAACAGGCATCATCTGTTGGTCCCATCATGAATTCATTGCCCTTGGCGCGAAGTCTATTTAGTGGAAAACTGATTGTTGGTTCGCGCAATTGTTGCGAAAGTAGATTTGCGATTGAATTTGAACGTTGAAAATCCGCTATTGCATATTAGAATTCTATCTCATAATGGAGGACTTTCTCTCCACTGAAATCGTTACCGTTTTATTGCTGTTTTACGTTGCAGGTCGCACGCGTGTAGATGCAAATGGAGCAGCGCGAAACGCTCGACACGCTTTACAGGGGCAATTTGGCGTCTGATATCGGGATCGCTCTCGCAGTCACGCCGGATCGCCGGAAGCCAATTGGAGAACACCTCCGTGTGAATCACGGGACGGACATGTAACGGGTTCAATCGAGAGCGACAAGCTGCGCGACACGCGCCGCTGCGACGTCCAACATCCACCGTCGCGTACAACTCTCGCACGCGTATCCGCGAGAATTCGCGGATCAACTATCACACACTCGCGTTCTATTATTCTCTAAGAACTAAGGGGCCTATTCTGTACACGTTAACGACATTATCACGCGCTTTGTGCGGCTTTTCTATGGTATATATTATGTCTGCGTAAAGCGCGCAATGATATCGTTGATGTTTACAGACTATAGGCATCCAAGTATCGAAACCGCGACTGGATTAATTTCTCGTGACGCCACACGACGAGACTTGTAATATCCAGGCCGGTATTCGTAGTCAAATCGTATATTCGAGACCGTCTTAAGATCATCTTTAGATTCTCCATAGCCAATGAAATGTTCCAGACAGCATCTTTAGATAAATTCAAGACGGTCTTGAATATAAGATCTGGGGGTCAATTCTGTATCTTACAATGTAGTGAAAATGGTAAAAGTGGTTAGCCTTGCCTCTTCCTAACTGTCCCCTTAAAATGAGACAAAGCCGCTCATTTTTAGCATTTTCTCTATGTTGCAAGATACATAATTGGCGTCAATTCTGTATCTTGCAATGTAGTGAAACCACCAAAAGTGAGCGGCTTTGTCTTTCTCTAAAGCCTAATCTACAATGTGCTTTCTGCATCTAGAAACATTCTATTTTATATAAACACAAATCGAAACGCTTAAAACATTTGTCGACAATGTACGATTGTACAGTATATAATATACAATTCATTCACTTGCGCAAACTTTTTAAATGTATTTAGTGACTACAAAATAGAATGTTTCTAGATACAGAGAGCACATTGCAGATTAGACTAACGGGAACGGTTAGAAAAAGACAAAGCCACTCATCTTTATCATTTTCATTGTAGCGCGAGATAGAGAATTGACCCCCTGACTATGAATACCGGCTATAGTGTCAAATTCACGTTAAGCTTCCGGAAGCTCTTGTGAGAATTGCCTCGGGAGACTAAGTTGTTAGCGAATAATAGTAATCTTCGGTAATCAGGAAAGCGGCGACGCGATATCGATCTATCAACAGTTCGGTATTGTGCTACAATATCGAGGTCTCCAGCGACAAAATCAAAACGACGAGAATTGTATTCTTACGCAAAATAGCAATCAACATGTTCAGACAGTCAAGCGCGCTAATGATTACCTCGATTGATTCGTTAACAACTTTTCGCGATAATGGCGACAACGAGAGTAATGCGCTCCTCGTATCTGGTGTCTGGCAACAAGTCACCAAAATTGATTTATCATTGATTCAGCCTCCTGTTATTCAACGAGCAACGCCTGCTTTTACAGCGTTAAACGGTTTTTCCAGCATTATACCATCGGATCGGCGGTACGTGAACGCGACGCACGTTGTCGTCCGCGTACATGTGTATGAGTGCGCGGCGAACCAGGGTTTCTCAGTGTCCCCAGAGAGTGATTGAGTGGATTGCCTTGACGCGCGCAACTCTCCACGCCTGAAAGTCACCTCCAAACTTCCCTCCTCTGATTTCCCCTCCCCCCCTCTCTCTCTCTCTCTCTTCCCGTCCTCCTCTCGACTGCTCGCTCAAAGCGGTCGGTTCTTCTTCGCCTCTCTTCACATCCACCTCTCTCCTTCTCATTCTCAACCTTTGTCTTTCCATGCGTCCACTCCCGACAGCAAGGAACGAACACTCCTGGACAGGAAGATAAGTGATCGTCGAAATTGCTCGGCCTGGCAAGAAGCTACCACGTGGTCTCGGGAAAGAAGTGTCGTCCACGTCCTTCGCTGTCGCACCGGTACACTTTCAGCTACCTGCGGCAGTACAGAACACCGTGGATATCCAATGATGCCCGTATAGGTATCCGATAGTCCATTTAGTTTTCTGGACGTTTGTTGATATGTTAACAAATGATAACATATCAATAATCGTAATGATATAGTATAATTATTATTTAATTAAATAATTATTAAAATATGTAGACTACAAAACCTAGTTTAAAACAGTACAAGGAAACTTCTCTTCTCTTCCAAGTAGATTTTATCTTAAAATAAAGTTTGACGTTATAAATAATTCTATTGAAATCTGAAAGTGTGTATTTTGTGTACGATGACTCTTTGTTTCTTTCATTGAAAAAGACCTAAGAGAAGAAAAATGCGGAAGCAAAGTAGAATTTACAAAATAGCAGATTTGGACACTTGTTAGATTATGAAATAAAATTTCTAGTTTTTGTCACATACCAACACACACAGAATGATCGAGATAAAAGATGGACATTAGTTCCGAAACTCGTTATACTTTCTTATCCCGGCGTTGTGCTATTGAAGCTTACATCGCCGCGAATAATTGATTATTTATGACTCTTCAGTGTCGCATGCGTATCGAGCGTGACGATCCTGACGTGTGAGTCTCGACAAGGCAAATGATAAAAAAGTGACCGTATTGCGAGTGAATCCCTTGAATTGGCGTAGGCTGAGAATGGAGGAGGAACCACGTCCGCGTTTCCCGCGAGACATGACGAAGGGAAAAACAATCCCTCCAACAGCGGCAATGTGTCCCTCGCGTCCCACGACTTATCGCGAAATGTCGTTGAAACGTAAAAGGTCACTTGATAATACGCTTATACATGCGTAGGGACAAAAATTCACTGTACATTTATACAGGAATTAAACATACGGATACTAAATGTCATCGAGACACTCGACAGTAAATACCTTCGGCTTTTAACATTCTGGTATACAGTACTTTTCCAATAGATATATTTTCTACGCAGGAAAAGCGCACGGTTGCCGATACGACAACGTAGGACAATGTCAGGAAAGTCAATTCGTACGATTGAACGGAAGCGAAGTGTATTATAATTTATATATTTGTAGAAAGATCTTTTTGTGGAATGAATACATCGTGGATCTATGGAAACAATACTCATAGACTTTTATCATTATTTCGAAATATTAAGCGCACGTATCATCGCAGGATAAACACACGTAATTGATATTGTACGGAGTTTATACAGTTTTAATCATGATGTAAAAATGGATATGGAATCAGTGGGTACACATTATTCGTGGGCACGAAGATAATATTTCGTTAATGATTGCACATAGTTTGATGCAATTAACGAAATTATAGTAAACCCTCGATTTTACGAACCTTTAAAAGCAGTTTCAATAATCGATATAAAAATTAATGAAAACTAAGACTCTAGTATGCTCCAGTAATCGATACGACACCCACAATATAATGACGATAGTTGTCCAATGATTTCAATTAAAAAATACAATAGACTTCTCAATAAGAATGTTTCTATCAACCTAATCGAATATTTTTTGCTTTTCTTTCTATTATATATATATAATATATATATATATATAGATGTGCGATTATTTGCTTTTCTTATCTATTCACAAAGGTTTCGTCAGGTACGAGCGTGTTCAGGCCTCGAAATTGCCCGTTGTACTTCGACGTTAACCTTAATGTTCTTCCGCTTGATTCATTAAATCGAAGATCTACCGCATCGCGATACACAATAGGGTCGAGAATATCTTATATATAGATATATACACAACACTTTTCATATTATGACGAAATAAATATGCGTATCAATCGCTCAGACGAATATCTACGTTCAGCAACTTGAAAAATTATGAAACGCAAACGATACTACATTGCATCGTGGGCTCAAGTATTCGAAAAAAGTCGATGCAGTATTTACTAAAACGGACATGAATATCATATACACCGTATCATATCGTGCATTTATGAAAACGCTGTTAACCCGGGAACTGAAACTGAAAAGTATTGCTAGGGAAACCGTCCTGAAACTGGAACTGGAACTGGCTTCCCTCTTGACAGAAGAAGTGGAACATTGCATTCGGATCCATGTCTGGAAAGAAGAAACGAGAATATATATAATATTAACAGTAACAAAGTATAGAATATATATCATGATTATGTAACAGAAAGAGAAAAGTACCTTGGAAAGCACTACCGTTATCGTCCAGATCGTGACCGCGATCGTAGCGAGATCGTTTCTTGGGATCCGAGAGAATACCATAAGCTTCTCCGACTTCCTTAAACTTCTTTTCTTGCTCTCTTTTCTCTCCTTCGCTGGCGTTAGCATGACGATCTATGAAATAGAAGGTATAACAATACAAAGCCACGTTTATAATTATGTGCTTGTCTTTCAACAAACTGATATACTTATTTCTTACCTGGATGGTGATCCAGAGCTCGTTTCCTATAAGCCTTCTTGATATCTTCGGTAGATGCATTTTTATCGATACCCAAAATCTTGTAATAATCTTTCCTCTTCGATTTCCTCAATAGCAACTTAGCTTTTCCGAGTAATCGTTTCGTTTCTGAGAAAATTATAGAAGAAATTAATGCAGCATCTTAATATGCCGCTGTACGTATTAAAAAATTGATAAGCAGCGATTCATACCACGATTGGTCTTATCCATTTTACACGCTTTTTCCAGATCGCGAACTGCCTCTTCAAACTCTTCGAGTTCCATATAAATACTCGCTCTTTTTATAAGAGCTTTCAAATAATGGTCATTGAGCTTCAGTGCTTCCGTGCATTCTGCTACAGATTCATTCAACTTTCCTAACTAAAATGAACGATAATAAATATTGATGCGGACATATCATAATTTCGTGAGAGAACGTAATGTAGTACCTTAGCTGCAGCTGTTGCCTTATTGAAATGCAATTTAGCATTTGTCATGATATTGTGTGGATCGATCGTCAAGGCTTCATTATAAAGATTATAAGCCTCCTGATACTGCTCCCTTTTAAACGCCGCATTGCCCTCTTCTTTCTTCTTCTTCAAACATTTTGCTCTCTATATAATGGACAGAGAAAAATTAATACAACATACCACATTATTTAATATGAATCAGGAAAGTTATTATATTTCTCTTCTTACTTTGTATATTTCTAATGCTTTGGCATGATCTGGCGCAAGTCGTAGTACTTGTTGGAAGTGTGAGAAGGCTCTATCGACATCGTCTTGGAAGTACAAGCACATTCCACGAATGTATATCGCATCGGCATTCTGTTTATCGATGTGTAAAGTATTGCTGAGGTAAAATAAGCACAATAAACATATATTTATGAGAATAAGTGCCGTATGTACTCTCGATTTGGCAAAACAATTTACTTTGCAATATCCTGGGCTTCTTGATATCTCCCTAAAAGGGCTAGACACTCAGCTTTGGTCAGCTTGAAACGTGTCCCAGATGTACTTATGTCACAACAGCGATCCATACAATATACAACCTATGGGGACACGAAATCCACTTATTTCATTGACAGCTCGTCAATAAATATAGAAAAGTTGAGGGCAGACGACAGAGACTTCACCTTACGATAATCCTTAGCATTGTAGGCAGCATCAGCATCCTTAAGGAACTTGTTTACATATGTTATGTCTTTTTGTTCTGCAGCTATTGACTCGTTATCGGGATCAAATTCCAGCAATTTCTTCACCGCGGTCTCGGCCTCTAGAATATCTCCCAAAATCAAATAACACTTGATCATTCTCACGTACGCCTGGAAAGGAATGCGGAACAATAAGTTTAACTTGTACGATTAACAGGTAGAGAATCATTAGTATACCTTAGAAAATGTTGGCTCCAGTTCGATACATTTTTTAGCATCCGCTAATGCATCTCGGTATTGTCCGAGCATCATGTAACATGCTGCTCTATTGCCATAGTAACGCGACACATTGGGACACAGTGCTGAAACATTTCGATTCGTTAAGATTATTTACAAAAACATTTGTAAATTTTCACAAATAGTCCAACGTCGTTAGGAAACTTTCTATTTTTAACGCCGACTGCCGATCGTAAGTTTACATTCGTAATTTAGAGAGATTTGATTCAATTCTTCGGAGGAAAAAGGATCTTTACAAGAACTTGAATTGTCCCTCGACGCAACTGGCATTATTTTATTAATATTAAATAATGTACAACGTTTCGACCGTACGGATTGCGGTCCTCTTCAAGCAAAAATCTGTTAAGTATACCGATATGTGGCTGTACATCAATATGACTACAAAACAATAATAGAGTATACAACTCCAATGAAAACTTACAATAATCTTTACAAGTTCCAAGGAAAAAAAAGAAATAATTAAGTATCATTTAAATGATACGCCGATACAAAAATAGCACCAGGGACAAAGTTACCTAAGTGTACAGTCAACGTATTAAAAACAGCACACACTTATATAATACCAAGAATCTCTCACCAATAACGTCATTGTAACCAGCCAATGCTTTCTTGTACTGTTTCTGTGAATAATACTCATTAGCGGCTTCCTTTTTCGATTCTGCCAATCTGCACATATTGCGTATAAATAATTAGTACCGCATTAATAAAGGATCTAATATAAAATTATACAACTACAAACTGATACTATATCCAGTATCGAGAGAACTGCACTTACATGCGACTCCGGCTGCAGTCGAGCTGCCGCTGGAAATGCTCCGAAATAGTCTTCTCTTCCTCACTTTCAGTAAAGATAAAAGAAGAGAAACGCCTCGGAACATTTGTAGCGGCAGCTTGACCGCAGCTTTTGAAACGCGGTCAAATATCTAAACAGAAATCTCAACTTTGTCTCTACTTCGAGAGATCAAAACTGTTGGGTTACCCTGGCTCAACCTTATCGCCAAATGCAAGTGCCAGCCGTGGAATAGAATAGACCACTTACTCGTGCGAAGAGAGAAGGCACGGTAGATATTTAAGTATCTAGGCCTCGAAGGAAGCTGTAAAGGTAGTTGTACAGGGACTCCCTTGCAAGGGCGAGTTATAATTAAACAGAAGGTCCTTCCCAGAGCGAGCTCCCGTCTGTCCGTGTGACGCAAGAGTACGTCTGGTTTTAGGGCAACGAGAAAGGAACTCACTCCTTGGTGCTCTGCGCTGGCTCCGCAACGCTGGCTGCTGGATCCGCGGCAATGTCGATCGGTTGATCGGACGACGCCATGGCTGTTTCTCGACGGACGTGTACGAGCCTACGTGGACGAGCGGCAAGAGACGGTCGTTGGCGCGCACCGTGAAAACACGCGGGGTACTCTCTCCCTGTCCTGCGCTTCGTCGTCGTCGTCGTCGTCGAGACGAGGGGCAGGAGAGACTCACGGAGCGATCCCACAGCGAGCGACACGCACCGCGTAACGCAATTAAGCGCGGACCGACCTCCCCCTTTCGCCCTCACACCCCGATCATCCCGGGACCCGGATGTAAGCAGAAGCACTAGAAGAGTAGAGGGCCTATTATTATTATTATTCTGTTAATGGCTCCTGGCTCAAGAGGGAGTAACGGGGGATTGGCGTGACTGGAAGGAAGCCTTGCGCGCCTGTGAATGCGCAGTGGCCACCAATCAGGGAGTCGAATCGAATTGACCAATCATAGGCCGGTATTCATAGTATTCTCTGAGCTAAGATTGGAATTAGTCGCTTTTCGGCTCTCTGAGCTAAGATGGAATATATCGCTTCTCGGCTCTCTGAGCTAAGATCGAAGTAATCGCTTCTTGGCTCTCTGAGCTAAAATGGAATTAGTCGCTTCTCGGCTCTTTGAGCTAAGATGGAATATGTCGCTTCTCGGCTCTCTGAGCTAAGATCGAAGTAATCGCTTCTCGGCTCTCTGAGCTAAGATGGAATGGCAGTGGCTGTCATAATTCTCGACTATGGCCGGTATTCATAGTCCGTTCTTATATTTAAGATCATCTTAAGTATACTCTTAATGCGTTTTTAACCAATCGCAGAGCCGTATTAGCTTCTTAAGACAATACTCAAGATGATTTTGAAATAAGAATCGACTATGAATACCGGCCTATGATTGGTCAATTCGTTTACTGCTTACGTTTTATTGCCACGGCCCTCAAACGTGTTGACTGGCTGCGCGATAGCAAAATTGTCGAGTATCTGAAAATATTCTAAAACCAGCCTAAAGTTGCATGTCTATCGCGGCATATTCGAGACACGACTGTCGCTTATGCGAGGAACACTATTGAATTATTATTGCGTTATTAATTCGTCACTACTGATTATTTTCTATATCTGTTACAATCTTGAAAATGTATCTTCTATTTTTGAATATGACGGCGAACACCGCGGCCATGTTCGGCGGATGCGAGAACGCGCCAATCAGCGACAGCGCAAGAATGGCCGGAAATTTCAAGCCTCGTCAATTCTTCGATCGCAGCGATGATCATCAGTTGCGTCGGTTGCGTCTGTCGGATCGTAATTAAACGCGCGCGGGGTACTTCCGTGCCAGCCGCGTTCCGCGCCGTGTAATGAGCGCGTAGGAGAGAATCAATCGATCGCGCGCGCGAGTGCCGCGAGGCCGATCGATAATCGCCGGCCGCGAATCGACGCCTCGCCCTGCCTTACCGAGCGGCCGGACGACAGGTGTGACGTCACGCGTCTCGGCCGCCTCGCGATGCGTATCGGGAAACACGGGATTCCTGCCATCTTGAATGGCATGGCTCGGCCACACAGTGCGTGATGAGGGAGACATGCGAGGTTTAACGCGTACGTTACGCTGGTATTTCGCTACCACGGCATCCGCGTGAGACTCGACGGCGACCGTGACGCGGGGAGGCATCTCCCCAGCCCCGCGCCATGGAGGCGGTGAAGGCGTTCAACGCGGAGGTAAGCAACACCCCGAAGGTCCCTCCGCTCGTACGCGAACGTCTTAGAGGTCACCGTCGTAGGGGCATCTCTCCCTTTTCTCGCGTGCGCCTCACCCTCTGCCCGGGCACGTCCCGCGCCTCGCCCTGCTCCGAATCTCGCGCGAAGGTCGCGCGGGGGAAGCGAGAAATGAAGGATGCGTCGTCCCCCCTCCCCCCCCCCCGTAAATTCTTCCCGACCGCGGCCCCGCTTCGGTCCCGACGAAGGGGGGCCTCTCCTCGCCGAGATACCGCGCGGGGTGGAATCGCGCCCGCGACGAAAGATGCCCACGAGCACCTCCATCGTGGTCCCCCCCCCCCTCTCTCCCTCGAGGTGGGTGCTTGTTTTCGGCGAGCTCTTTCGCCGCGCTCGCGGCCGCGCGACCTCGCCGAGCGAATCCTCGCATTCCCCGGCAGTTAACGCCGCGGCGTGGAGCGACAGGGCACGAGCGCGTGTTGTTTTGATCTGTATATTTAGAGCGCGTTACGCTCGCTATACGACGCGCCCGAATTGAATGCATTAGCTTTGCGTTCCATTGAAATACTTGGTATAGCTGTGCTAGTTAGGTGTCGCCGTTTAGCTCCTACTAGACAGGTTGCTCCTTTTGAAAAGGGGAATTAATTGTGATTTAAATTCCACAGCTCTCTGCTCTCTACGATGTCAAACCCCCTATCTCAAAAGCCAAAATGAATTCGCTTACACGGGGAGCTATCAAAGCAATAAAATTCTACAAGCATGTTGTACAAAGCGTGGAAAAATTCATTCAGAAAGTAAGTGTTGGCCCGTCCGAGCGCCCTCTTCCCGAGGCCCGTTTACGCACGCGTCCAATTTTGTAACTCGCTCTCTTCTGTTGCAGTGCAAGCCGGAGTACAAAGTACCAGGGTTATATGTAATAGATTCGATTGTCCGACAGTCCCGACATCAGTTTGGGATGGAGAAGGATGTGTTTGCTCCGCGATTTGCGAAGAACATGCAGACCACGTTTCTCAATCTTTTGAAATGCCCGCAGGAGGATAAAAGCAAAGTTATACGTGTATTAAATCTCTGGCAGAAGAATGCGGTTTTCCCACCAGAAGTTATCCAACCACTTTTCGATCTGGCGGATCCAAATCATCCGATACACAAAGAACAGACAGTAAATAGCAATGGTAAATATAACGTCAGAAAGTAAAATTAACAAACGATATAAATATGTAGCTTGACATACAATATGTGCACGTATACATACGAGAAATATCTAATAGTTTGTAAAATGTTTTATTATCGTTAGGTACATTAAATGCATCGTCTGGAAATAATCTAAGTAACGTGAGCGCAGTCACCAAGACCCCGCCGTCTGCGATTAAGAACGCTGTGAAGGATCCCAAACTATTTCCATCGGGAAAAACTATTGATCCCGTATGGTTGGCACAAACGAAAATGGAAGCAGCAGTCAATGCAAATAAACTTTTGGTAATATTATTACATACATTTGTACCAAGCTTCTGTTTGTATGTTTGCTGAAAGTTTATTGAACTTTATTGTTTCCTATGCAGAATCAGTCCAACTCCGGTCAGATGGATTCCTCGTTTCTCGACCAGTTGCAACATTTACAGCAACTGCTTTTGAAAAAGGATGCTACAAACGAACCAAAGAGTTCTGTCAAGTTTGATAAAAAATTGTTAGATTTTGACTACGGCGAGGAAGAAGATGACGATGTCGTTCTTACTAATTCCCCAAACACAGCTGCCTCTACCAATACCCAGCACAATGCAGTTTCAGCAAACAGCAGTTTAGAAAGCCTCGGATTGTTGCTTGCAAATCCAGAGGTATTTATCAAGTACCAAAAGTCAACAGCAATACCGTGGAGCAAAAGTGTAGCTAATCATTTCATGTTATTGAAAGGTTTTGAGACAATTGCAAACTCTACAACAAACCATGCAAAGCAATGCATCCTCCTCGCAACTTGAAATGGAAGAAAAGATGCGCAAGCTGCAACAAATGAAACAGCAGGAGGAAGAATTTGATAAGCATTTAGCACAAACTGTTCCTGTAAGTTGAGCGGAAATTTTTTTAATTTTTTGCATATCGTGATATTGTGCATAATTTTTTTTTCTTTTATTTCAGAACCTTCCATTTGCATCTGAATGCGAGTTAAAACCTTCGGATATTTTGAAACCGAACACACAAAATTATGCATCAAGCATGAACAGCAATGTGATGCAAGATATGAGCCAGCCACCGCCTGGTTATCCGCCAGCTCTGTCATACACTTCGCAATCTTTATCAAATATTCGACAAATGAATCAATCGGCGCATCAGAATCAAAAGAGTCCGTTACTTGATGAACGTCAAGAAGCACAAGATTATTCTGGGTAATATATCAATTTGTATCAACATACATATTAATTCAATTGATAACTTTATCTCTTCTAATGGTTACTTTTTTTTTTACAGGAACAGTATCAGGCGTGACAGCAGCAGTGTAGAAATTGTGAACTGCGAAAACACGAGTTCCCAAAGTAGATCGCCGGAACGATATCGGCACCATAGTCGATCCCGATCTCCACGACACAGAGATAGAGATAGAGATCGAGATAGAGATCGGAAATCTCGATCTAGAAGCAGATCAAGACGAAGAAGGTAATTAGACTAAAGCTAAATCAAATTGATTGTCTTCGTAATTGCAACTTGAGATATATCAGACGTAGGAAAATAAAGATTGTCATAAATAATTAATCCATATTTTTGTGCCTTTAATTTTGTATTACATGTATTTTTACTCTCTTAGATCGCGTTCAAGAGACAGGGGTCGTGATAGAAAACGTGACGATAGTCGAGAAAAGATGACTGAGGAAGAACGTGAGAAGGATAGGGAACGACGCAAGCGCGGTCTGCCACCGATAGTTAGAGATAAATTAAGTGGTACGTATACTGAAGGGGATCTCCCTCGTTCTTTCATGTATTGTAAGTCAGAAGAAGAAAAGTATGAAAAATTAAACGCATCCTTTTGCAGTTTGCAGTACAACACTTTGGGTAGGACATTTGTCAAAACTCGTACATCAAGAAGAATTGTCCGATACGTTTGGAGAGCTTGGCGATATCGTTAGCATTGATTTAATCTCACCGAGAGGTTGTGCTTTTATATGTATGAACAGAAGACAGGATGCGTATCGAGCATTGACGAAATTGAAAAATCAAAAGATGCAAGGCAAAGCCATCACGGTAAATAGTATTCACGGTATATCACTTTAACATATAGTGACTGTGTAAAGTTGAGATTTCTATTTCTATTTTGATTTTACAGTTAGCGTGGGCGCCTGGTAAAGGAGTGAAAGGCAAGGAATGGAAAGACTACTGGGAAGTAGAGCTAGGCGTTAGTTACATCCCTTGGAATAAATTAAATAACATTACCGATCCAGAATTGGAGTTGCTAGAAGAAGGAGGGATGATAGACGAGGACACATTACCTCCCCATTTGAAAGGTACATCTCTTCAATTTGTACATATTTATGTAGAGCAAGTTAATATATACATAAAAAGTAGGTACTCGGAATAGAGTAGTTTAATAAATTGTGTATAAATATTTTAAAAGGCAAGTTTTTCTTAGTTATATACGAGTTAAAATGTATAACTTCAAGGAATTTGCAAAATTAAAATCCGAGTGTTTCGTACAATCTGATTCAGATTGAAGACATTAGATTTTCTATTGCCAATCAAATTGCCATGTAACTCTGAACAATTTTATTTTGATGAAATTATTCTCACAAATGTAAAACTGAAAGTCGTCCAAAGCCGCAAGGCATAGATTAAAAATAAAATAATAAATATCAATTCTAATATTAAAATAATATACTGTAGATATTATTACTGTATGTGGTAATTAGTAATGCATTCTACAATACATGTTTTTCTCTTTTATTCCACAGGAAAACTGAAGCACACTGGCACGAGTGCGGATGTCCTGCAACAACAATTGCATCTGCAACAGCAAGCAATAGTTGCCGCTGCAAACGCTGGTGCTCCTATTCCCACTTTAACGGACGGTATCGTCAACGTTATCCAGTCGTCGGCTAATTCGCAGCAGCAACAGCAGCAGCAGCAGCAACAGCAACAACAATTAGTCGACACTAGTCAACCGCCACCAATCAGACCACCAACATCAGCTGCGCTACTGCCCCCTCCAAACACACAGTTGCCAATGATGCCGCCAGCATTTACTATGCCAGGAGTGCCACGTGAGTTTACAGCGTCTACCGGTTTCTCAATCCAATTCTTTCCGATAAATATTCACACCAGATTTTGCAAGCGCAGATATCCATGCACTAGTGTATAATTATTTATAGTATACTATATTTTGAATATACTGATTTCAATTATATTTTAAGTGTTCTTACACATAGGCTAATTTCATTTTACTTTCTTTGCATAGATCACACATGCTTTATATTTTATTTTCTTTAAAAACAAGTCTCTAATGTTACACGTTACGATAAAAGAATATCGAAAATATAAAATAGATTGTAGTAATTTAATAATATCTAATTTTTTGGGGTGTAGCAATGCGTAATAAGATGATAATAGTTCCTACTGCAGTATTTTACGGTACTTAATCTTGTGCAGGAATGATTAGCCACATGGGCCTACAAATGACGCACGGATTAATGCCGAATGTTCCGATTGGGGTGCCACCACCTAATATGCAGAGTCTGCTGGGACCGCCCGGCATGATGCAGACCATGCTGACACCCTCAGTAAACCCGCCATTTGGAGCAGGTGTTGGCGTAAGTTTATTGACACAAATCCCACTGCCCGCACCTGCAGCGCCTTCCGATAAACCAAACTCCACTGGTATGTATATTTCTTTAACATTTATTAATGATAGAAACAAAGATCACTTGAGACAATGTCGATGAATTATTTTCTGTATACAAAGCATTGGTCGCAACGTGGTGTATCGATAATAAAACTGAAGTTTTCTTCATCGTCCTTTTGTTAAATTTGAACAAAATGTAGCCTCTTGTATAGTTAAACAAATTAAAAAATATGTATGAAAAAAATTGGAGATAGGAATACAATTTCAGTCTGAACATAACTAAAATTTATATAAGAGCTACATATTGTTATTAGAAATTTAGTCTCGACTTATATCCTTGTACTTCTTATGGAACTGTTAACTTTAAGTGTGAAATATTTTTCTATTTTGGACTGAGATCTAAACCAAGATAATACTTGTATACGCGGAGAATAGAAACAATCAGAGTTGTTAGCACTAATCAATTATTGGTACAAGCATGTGTTCTAATTCTACCTAATTTCAATTGACCCCACGTTGATATATAATAACTCTTAGCGTCCCAGCAAAGTTGGCTAATCGCAGCCAAACAGGATACGAGATCCTGAATATTACAGGTATGCCACACAACGTCCCACCGATTGGAGTACCGCCGCCTACAACGGAGACGAGTATGCCGAACTTGCCGATGTTACGGCAACCGTACGGTGTAGGTCCGGCGCCGCCGATGCAGATGCAACTACCTCAGCAACAACACCACTCGGATGACATGGACGTGGAGATGGAGGACGCGATGCCGCAAAGTTTAAGCAGCAGCCTGCCCAAGGACAAGCAGAATCTCAGCGATCAGTTAATCGCGGCGATGAATATAAGCGGCAGCGTCAACGACTGTCGTTTGGAGAACGATCAGTCCCGCGAGTACAAGGAACGAGAACGCGACCGGGAGAACAGGGAGAGGAGAGACAGGAGTGATCGAGATCGCGGGGATCGCATGGACATTAATGAGTGCAGGATGGATCGTGGCAGGGACAGAGGAAGAGGGCGGGATCGTGGGCGAGATAGACGGAGAGACAATCGCGAGGGTCGCGACAGAGAGAGGGACGAGAGACGCGACAGGGACAATCGTGAGAGTCGGGAGAGCCGGGATAGCGGCAGCAGACATTCGGAGGGACCGAGCGTGCAAAGTCAAAACATCCAGGAAAGCGAGGGCATGGCGAAGAAGGAGGGCAAGCCCAGTCTAGCCGAACGATTGCGACAATTGGCGGACGGTACGTTACCGTTGGATGACCGGATGGACCGGAACATACGTGGTAACCGAGCTGAGCGAAACAACGAGCGGAACGACAGGAACTTCGAAGAGAGCCCCGGAGGTGCGGGGGGACGACGGCCACCTGGCGACATGCCGATCTCGTTGATGGATCTACCCAAGTTCGGGGTGCTGCCTCCGGATCGGACGGATTTCCCGCCGCGAGGACCGGAATTCCGGGCCGGACCGCCAGACGCGCGTGAGTTTCCACAGCGCGGCTTGCCCGATCGGCCCGATCGTCAGACTTTCCCGCCACGCGGTGGACCGAGGGCCTCGCAGATGGATGACTTCTTGGATCCTAGGATGCAGCCTGGCATTTTCCCGGAGGACTACGAGGGCAGGCTAGGCCACAATGGGCCTCGGCCTGAGGACTTCCCCTCGGGCAGGCTGGGCCCGGCTCGTGACGAGTTTGAGCGACCGGAAGTGCGTGCTCGCAGACCGCCCGTGGACGAGTACGAACGCGAGCGTTTCGAGTACGAGATGAGACGCGACGGATTTGATCCGCGAATGCAAGACGGCTTTGATCTCAGAGGTCACAACGAGCGTTCCGACTTCGATCTTCGCAGAAGGGACTTCTTTGGTGGCCCAATGGAGCCTGTGTTCGGAATGCCGCCGTTAATGGGGCCGAAAGGACCGAGAGGACCGGTTGGTCCTGATGGATTTGGACCACGCGGGGCCAGGGGACCTGGTAAGACACGAATTTCCTATCATCTTTCTGACCATTTTGATATATATTTTGTGTTAGAGACTGCTATTTATTGTACAGGATGTTATTAAGCGCATTTAATGCGCCATATTTCTTGCTGCAAACTGAAATCTTATCGGTCAATGTTGCTTTACAATCCTAGATGGGTCGATTCTAAAGATTCAACTCGGCTTTCTCTTTAACGTTCAGTTCTTATGAACGGGTAGTTTCACGTAATATGATTATCAATCGCATTCATGACTCCCGACTTGGAGATCCAAGGAGCCATTTTATGTCAATCATGAATTTTAAATCCGTATATAGAATAAGATTCATATCTTATGAAAACCTGAGGATCAACTATGGGACTGCTGTTTCTATACGAAAGCATGCGACTTTCTAAATAATTCTCATAGAAAATATTAACATGGATTTTAACTTGACACAGTCCTAGTCTATTTTTCTGTTTCTAATGATATTCCTTTCGAATATAGAGACACTAATGATGTGGAAATGTATACTTACTATAAAATATTCAAGTTATTAAGAATATGCAAATTTATTTAACAAGTTACATAAATGTGTTATAATAATAATTTTTATATAATAGTAGTATTTTTCTAATGTGGCCTTATTTAAGAAAAGAAAAGGAGAGAAAAGATGGAGAACAATAACTAAATGTTCCAGCAAACACTTAACATTTTTTAAAAGGCAATATCAGTTCCTGTGTTCACATTCGCATGCACTGCATGACACAACTGTAGCTACAAACTTCAGACGAACTTGTATCAATTTTTTGACATAATATTAATAACAGTATTTATAACTATCTCTATGAATTTCTGGATGCTAGTTTGTTTAATTTTTTGGCATTGTGAGATTTTTCATAAAAAGTGCGTAATAATACGATATATAAAGCGAAGGAAGATCTGCTTTATTAATTACAGCATTTGCGAACGTGATTATGTTGTCGCTTCGTGCGTGTGTCACTTGGGCGTGTCTTTTGTAGGTCCACTGATGTTCTTACGTGGTATGGGTCCGAGAGGTATGAGGCCCGGGATGAGGCCGCCGTTCGCACCTCGTGGTCCACCGTTCGACCCCAGAGAAGCAGACTCCTTCTTCCGCCCGCCGTTCGATGATATGCGCGGTCGCCCAGGACCGCACATCCGGCCGCCGTTTGGCCCGATGGGCCCACCGGCGATACACGGACCGGATGGTCCATGGAGAAATCAGGAGGGCGGTGGACCACCGCCCGCGTCGTGGTCCGGACAGGAACCTGATGGGGTGCCCCTCGGGCAACGCGAGAATCATCTCCCGCGGGACAAGCAAAAATTGGCGAAGCACCAGGATTATAAAAATCTGTCCGAACGGGAGAACCGTAATCGAAATCGAAAATCCCGCTGGGGTAACGTCAGTCCGCCCTTGACGGACGACGTGGACGAGATGCCGTCGGAGGAGGCCGAAAATAAAGTGGAGACATCGGATGGCGGTGAACTAGAGGCGAAGGATGGCTTTGACGTTTCATCCTCGGCCATCGATCAGCAGAGTCTTCTGATGCAAAAGGAGCAAGATGAGTCGGCGATTCACGAGCAAGACGTGATGCATGGTGACAGAGGAAATGAGTTTGCTAGTATACCGAACGATAAGGGCAGCGATGAGATTAGCTATAAAAATGATGAGGGCAATACCTTCGATATTGGTGCGGATCATTTCTCCAGCAACGATTTAGCGCTAAAGCAGCGGGGTGAAGAGGAACAGTGTGAATACGAAGCACCCATTCCAGCTGAAGATTCAGCGCAACAAAATGTGGTACAATCGATTGAACAAATAGGGCACGTCAGTGAAAATCATAGTGAGCAAACAGTGGAACAGCAAGCGGATTCGTTGTAAACAGAGAGAAAGAAATTGAAGGAAAAGATCGATATTGGGGAAACTACCAAAGTAAAGTATAGAGAATCTTCAGGCAGATTCGTGTAAAATATCGTTTAAATCGATACAATGTACATAGAGTCGCGCTACAGTGAGCGAGCGAGAGAGGGAGAGAGAGAGAGAGAGGGAAAGAAAAAAGTGAAAAAAAATTCGATTTTACAGACTCAGAATTATCGCACTCTGGAGTGGTGGGGGAGCTGTTGGGTCCAGTGAGTTGTTTTGAGTATCTTTCAGTCAAAATATTCGATTGTTGATTCTCGTGTAAGTCTTAATCAAGATTTCTTCCCAACTGAAATCTGCTGCTTAGATAATTGCTGTGATAGAGTGAACACAGGACCTGTTTACCCGTGTAGAGGTATATACAGAGATTCAATTCTTAATCGAAATTCTTTTAGCATAATCTGCTTTTTTCCCTCTTCTTTATTTTTCACGTTGGATAACGGTCGCAAACGACGTGTTTTATATATATACATATATATATATATATATATGTGAAAAGATTCCATCATTGCCATTTATACGAGATCACTCTCCAGTCAGTCTTTTAGTAGTTTTGTTAAGAATATTCCTGTAGTTAATTTCGAATCACTCATCGGGTATTGTATAGCGAGAGTATCGTACCTCATGGCCCTTTGGTGAGGATTAATTTATTGAATTGTACATACTTTTATATTTTCGTAGCAGAACAAATGAATGAATATAATGTGCTGATTGCCATTGCTCAATCAAAGAAAGAAAAAGAATAAATATTTTATATATAATGTCTTTGATAACAAAAGAAACATTGCCTTGTTATTCCGATACGCGCGTAGCTCCCAATCACAACAAAATGAAAACGACAGACTAAGTCTACACGTGTATAATATACGAATTATATTTCTAGGCATCTACTGAGACATGTACATAACACAATTCAGAATATTTCCGTTTGTCTTTTTATTCTTGATCTTGTTACCGGTTGCGTGAAATTACTTTCCCCTTGAATTCTACACAATTGAACAAGTCAGATGATCCGTTTTACGTCAACTAACTCACGGCACAGATTCATTCCACATTCTGCGTAAGGAGATTTAAAGTAAATCTGTTGAAGTATACGAGCGAGAATGGTTGTAAAAGTACGATATATCCCACATGTACATGCGCTTCCGTGTAACACACATACACGTACAGACAACTTGGTTCCTGTGTTCACATACGCATGTATTGCACGGCGCAGCGATGGAAGACACGTGCTTGCGCTCAAACTGAGTGACAAGTGCAAGGTATTGTTCCCAATTTCTTTCACATACCGTTAGTCAAGAAATGTGACACAAGATGATCTTAAAAGGGCCACTGCTTGGCCGCCACCACTCCAGGATGAAACTCGTCGATACATATACTACCAATTTAAATAATTATTGTATATCTTTAATTAGAATAATTGCTTACGGCTAAGAGATGGTATTAAGAGAGAACGACTTCCAAAGTTGAAATGTCCGATCATGTTCCATTTGTTGGACTTCGTCAACTGAACCGACTCTTTGATTCTGAAACGTTAACATTAAACGTTCACTTCGCGCCTTTAATGATAAATAAAAACTGGATTGTTAAGAGATAATCGTGGTAGACTTTCTAATGAGTCGTTAAAATAGGATATCATAGAATTATTTCGACGCGTATAACGACAATGTTTGATATTTTCACGTTAGAACGCATGTATGTCTATTTCTTTGCTTTGAGCTTATTTTACTATAAGTTTCGTTTTACGATCATATATTCATATATGTGAATCCATGAACAAAAACAGCAACTGTATTTAAGAGCGTATACTTAATATGAACCTAAATATAAATTGATAAAGAATTCTTTCTTTTTACTAGTATGTTGGTACTTAACGTAATTTTCAACACGTAATATCCATATTTTGTTGATAAATTTCATAATATCCTGATATATACATTGTAACGTATATAAAAATTAGAAATTCTGTAAATTCTGTAAAATGTATTGTGCAGATAACAATGTGCTGACTTTTGTTTACATCCATATCTCTTATATTTTTTTAATTAATTTCTTTTAGAAACTGCTGTAGTTCAAATATCATTAACCGTTTCCGAAATGAGTAACGCATAGAGGAATGATTAAGATACAGTGAACATTGTTATTATTTCTTAAATGTATAGTTACATTTACTTCATGTAGCACATTAAAGATGCATTGTAATCACAAGTTTCACACACACATGGATGTAAATTTAAAAAAAATTTTATAAACGAGAACAAACCTGGAGTGGTGCGCGGCACTACATTCTAGGATTTTATACGTATATTAGAATGGGATTGCAAACGTTTAATCTGACCGTAATGTGGAACTTTTTGAGGTATGTTTCCTCGTGTTTAACATTATTTCTGAAACTTCCTCGATTGCGGAAGTATAGTATTTTAATTTTTAAAAAGTATTTTATGTTTATGTCATGCGTATACATATATATACATATTTCAAAATTATATATACACATCCATTATACATACATATGTGTATTATATATTTATATATAATTTTAAAAAATACATGAAGAGATAGAAGCATTTGCAATATTAGATATCACTTTTTTTTTAGTTTAACACTTCAATGTGTATGATCTCTTTTTTTCTTACTTATATCTGAAGAATTATTACATATTTTCGTTCTTTCTTAACAATATCTGTAATATTAGATTAAATTAGTTTTTCGATTTTTAAACTTTTTCTCACAAATGAATGTGTGTAAAAATTTTATCTCTTATCTTTATTTTACTTTCGCACGAGGAATCATCCTTTTCTAATTGCACCATTTATATATATAAATATTTTCTTTTAGAAAATAATTTTATAAAACTTTCTAAATTTTTTACTTAAAAAAACCATGAAGTTATTTCTTAAATATAATACTATTGCACTACAAGCATGTATATACGTTTTCAAAACAATATTGTATGTACTATTTAAATATGTTTAAAATGTTTAAAAATTTAAAAATTATTCGTTAAATTTACATACGTACAGAATTAATAAACAAAAATTCAATTTTATCATTGCTGATAAAATCATATTTCAGATAATATATGTCCTCCGGTTTTTATGCTCTGATATAATTGTTTTAATTCAATTTATTGAGTAATTAATTTGAACAGAAATATGAGATGATTAATTAACTATATTGATTAATAATGTGAATTGATATCGTAAAAAAATTTTATTTATTCGCGATTCTTTATTCAACGAAATTATGGATCAATTAATCATAAAATAATCATTCATAAGATTGTGCTTTGCATATATAGGAAAATTTTAATATTTACTTTATTAGTTAATATCCTACATTATTGTTATTGAGACTTAGGTATCTAAGAAATATACTTATTTTAATACTATTTAATTGAATACGTAAGTATTCGTAGAAAAAGGGTATTTTAAACAGGATAGGAATCACCGAGGAAAACCTCCCAGTCGATGTCGAATCAACGTCAACATGACTGTTTCGATGTCGATACATCGTTTCGATGTCGATCGACAAGTCATTTCTGACTGGGCTCTTTGATAACTTGTAACTTTTCACTAATAAGAGTTTGATTTAGGAAGCCTTGATGTAAAATTATACTATTGGATATTCATTTATGTGTTTTCCACCTTTTTGTGGACTCATCCTATATGATATATTAGATACAGGAAATATGAAACTGCATCTATATAATAGGTAAGTATTAGTATATTGCTTTAGATAACTTTTGTAATGATAATTGCATAGAAAATAAATAAGGGATGTTATACGTATGCGTTAATATTTCTGAATTTTTATAAATTTCTATATTGACGTCAAGTAGCCATTTACTCCAGATCACGAGATATATGGACATACACAAGCCAGCACGATACATATATAGGATACGTATCAAATTCAATACATCCTTGTTTTATCTTCACAGGTGTGTACATACAACATAGCAGATAATCTTTAGTGGTTCATTTATTATTTACTTTAATCAGTTGTAACATAGTAGTAAAGCAGATTTCTGTCGTAACTAAATGTATTCGGAAGAAGCTTTTACAAAAAGTGTTGAATCGTCAGTAGTTCATATGTGTGGAATAAGCTATAAATTACTTCTTAGTATATTTTCAGATGGAGAATCTCCAGTTTATATCATATATTTAGTACATGTACTTTACACACATTACATAAGTAAATTAAAATACATGTATATTTTAAACAGACACAATCACACGCATATATATATATATATATATACACATACAACTTCGGTTTATAAGTATTTTAGAAGAAGTTAGTTCTTAGAAGTTAGTCTTTATAACTAACGTTACAAAAATGAATACATACATACATACATGCACGAACGTATCGTTCTTTATTTTTAGCTTCAATTATTTAAAGCCAAATACAAGATAAAAATTTGTATAATATTGATGCAACCTTTATCACTCGCTCGTTGATGTATAGACAAAATTAGATTGGATACTTATATGTAAAGTGCATATACATATAATTGAATAGTAAGAGTCTCTCATTAGAAAAGACAGATATACATATTATCTTCCTTGACATTGTCATACTGTGAAGAATTATTAAAATTTTAATAGTACTTTCTCAGCATACATTCTTAGTAGTAATTATAAAAAAAGCACTATGTCTATTACACGAGAATAAATGTGTAGACTGTTCACAAACGTGATATATTTTTACAAATTTCCAGTATTGTAAAAATGATGCTAAATGGAATATCAACTTACATTTTGCACTTATATCCTAAAGTTAGTCGGACTTTTACTTAATGGCATTTAGAATCTGTATCTACGAATGATAAACAATTGAATAAAGCACTAGTTCTATGGTGGATATATACAAGACTTCATAATCTAGTCTATGTCTTCGAAAAATAAAATGTACTCGAAATATTTAAATGTGAGGTAAAACCCTATAAACATTGAAAAAATACAAAACATTGTGGTCATTTCTCACATAATTATAATATTACTGGAAAAATGTTTACATATATACGTAAATATATTAAATGCTGGAATAGATTTATATATTGTATATATATATATTGTATGAAAACGTTCGATAGCAAAGCTCTATTAAAAGTTCTTATTTAATTGGAGTGGACTGTAAAAGATGGATGTTATAATAAGATTGCAGAGACACACTCTTACAACAAGAATCGCATTATGACAATAAACAGGAAGCATAATTGACTCGGGCCTGTATTTAGGTCCGTTTAACCAGAGTAAAATAATTAAATTTAAAAAAATATGTAACAAAATAACGCGAACAACAACTTAATCGATAAGCTATAGGCTTCATTTTTTACGTCTTCAAAGTTGCAAAAATCGCGTCACGTGAAAGACTCGTCCCTTATTGAGTTTTATCTATCGCTTCTAGTCGTTCAAGGGTAGGTGGATGCGAGTGATTCCAACCAGAGTACAACTTATCGAATAAAGGAAAGCCCAAATTGTCCTTCTGTAATTTTAGCAGAGCTGCCTTTAAAGGCTCGCCGCGGCCTAATTTCGTGGCAAATTTGTCAGCTTCAAATTCATATCTTCGGCTAATCACCACGCTGATAAAATTCAATATCTAAAAAGAAGGAAAGAATTTGCGTAGATAATCTCTTGTTTTAATGTGCAATATGAAAAAACATTTGGAAAAATGTAATGGTTACTTACCGTATTCAGTGGTATCAAAATATACATTGTTACTATAAACAGGCCAATAATGATGGGCTGAGAATTGACGAAGCCAAAAGCGGTATACATTGGTGAGTACCGCAAGAGCTTGGCAAACGTAACGAAATTGGCTACTAGTATTATCTGAAGAAATTAATACTCGTTATTAAAAATACAAGGACTAATCGAAAGAATTTTTCAGGTTATATATATATTTTATTGAATAGATAAAATAATTTTCTAATGAATTCAGGACCAACTTTTCTTTGGAAAATATTAAAATATCATTACAGATACCATAACAGAGATTAACTTTGAAATGACGTAATATATAAAATATCAGTCAACTTTAAAGTTATACCTGGCTCAGCAGAAATCCTTTCACAGCATGATTATGTTTCCAATGACCCAATTCGTGCGCGAGTACCGCCAGTATTTCATCTGTATCACAACCATGTTCTTTCTCGGTGTTAGTGGTGCATTTCTTGTAATAATCCTTGATGAGCGTATCAAAGAGAACAATCCTCTTGTATTTGTAGAAACCGTACAGATAGGCATTGCTGTGTGACGATCTCTTGGAGCCTTCAACTATAAACAGCTTATACAAGGGAAATTTCAAGGAAGCCGCCAATTCCTCGATCTTCTGCTTCAATTCGCCGTCAGGCAATGGTGAATATTTGTCAAATAACGGCGCGATTACTTCGGGATACACGATCATCATGAATAACGAGACCACTACGGATAGCAGCCACAAGTACCAGAAGAAATAATTGCCACCATTTTGCACAATCCAGATCATACCGCTGAGAAGAGGTAAAGTGATAACTTGAGCCACAACAAACTTTTTAATTTCGTCCTTAATGAAAAACATAGCTGTCTGCAAATATTAATATTCGTTAAACAAATTAATGAAAATTCGTAGGGCTCAAACGTGATAAACAAATTTATAGGAACAAAGGACTAAGAGCCGTGACAGGGTGTTAGTGTCTAAATATCTCACCCTGGCTGAGGTTTTCGCAAGAAACTTTAAATACGAACTATTTAGACACAAACACCCATGTCCCGGCTCTTAGTCCTTTGTTCCTTTAAATTTGCTAATATGCGTTAATCAGCAAATTCTCTTCAAATCTCTTTGAGCATCTCTTTGAATCAACTCTTAGGCCAGTGTTCACAGTCAGATCCTATATTCAAAACTGTCTCAAGATGATCTCTAGGTACTCCGTAGTCAACGAAATGTTCCGTACGGCATCTTTAGATAAATTCAAGACGGTCTTGAATATATGATCCGACTACAAGTACTTGGGCTCAATATAATTAAATGTTATAGGCATAGAAGACATACGAAAGGTCTCTATAATTGCAAAATGTAACACATGAAGAATTTTACTTGTTTATTAAAGCCGTGCTTCTGCTCCAAGACAAAGGTGTCGTATATCGCTATCGGCAGACTGAATATGTTGGAAAATAGGCTCATTATGAGCATCCATATCGCGCTCAGCAATATTTCGTTCTCATGATTGATACCATAGTACTTGGCTATTTGAATGCTCATTTGCCAGATGTAGTGGTAGCCAAAAGTTACCAGGATTATCTGCAAAAATACCATATTGTATAACGAATCTGAGTAATGCCTAAAAGTTTCCTTCCATTTTCGACGGCATGTAGAATTTGTCAAAACGCGTCACGACACTCACCGTATTATAAAGCTTAGAATATATGTCCTGTATAATGCCAAAGGTATTTCTGTGCAATGCGTACGCACGAGCCTTGTCGTATGTCTCTTTGGTCATCAAACCCTCAATCGATTTTGGCATATCAACCAAACGCTTCAGCAGAGCTCTCTGTAACGTTCATACGCACGCAAGTGCGTAGAGAACTGATTAACATAAAACATTCTAAAACGTAGCAGTCTTTTATCATGATAAGGGCCTGAGCAGATTGGCTGTCTTGTACTCTCAAGACATAAGACAGTTATTGTGCGTTACCTCAAGACGAAGGCTTGAAACATAAAACATTGTCTTAAGGCTGTCTTCAGAGTATAAGACAGCCATTCTGTTCAGGCCCTAAGGCAAAGATTTAAAACATGAAACATTGTCTTACGAGTACAAGACAGCCATTCTGCTCAGGCCCTAACGTAAAAAGGAACGAATTACAGGTTAGAATGGCAGACCTACCTGACGGAAGTCTAAATAATAATACCACAAGTTTAACAGCCATATCATGCATAAAATCGATTCGAGGATATGCCTCTCCCAAAAGTTCACAACTATCTCCATTTCGTTGATATGTTAACCAGATATTCTTATTTTACAGCTCCACCGCCAGCTCGCCGACCACCCTGCGTCGCGTTGTCCGCGTGCGGAACAAAAGGTAAGGAAGTAAGGTTAAATTATGCGAACACGTATTTCAAGGTGCCCGCGAAGGATTGGAGCAATCTGTAGCTGCATCCCATGGACGTAGGAAATATCTGGACGGAGCGTAAAATACCCTTATGGACGCGGGGAATTGACTCTGAAGGGCGAGGGGAATTAGAGACCACCTAATCAGAGTCTGGACATGCGGTATCCAGGCTTCCGATTGGTTCGCCAGGTCTATGATTTTCCCACTGAATTTTTAATTGACAATTTCAATCGACTCTTATAGCTTTACAAACGACAGGTTATCGTGATTGATTTCGATTATTTTAACGCGTATCCCTTTGTCGAGGTGCTCGATCATATTCTCCTGATACTTTGTTAGTTTCCGAGATTCTCAATTTTCGCGATTTGGAGTGTGAGATTCTCGGAATTCCAATTCTTGCAAATTGTGAAAAATTCTTGAACGTTTAGATAGTGCCACTTCTTTACGGATCATCTTCGCCTGATACCTTGTGGATTTTTGCGAATTAAAAATAATTTCTGTAATCAAAATGCGTGATTAGTAAATACCACGGTCGATCAAGTTTGCGGTGACTTTATCGACGCCCGGTATAGTCCCTTGTTAACTTTATCGACAATAACAATTACTAATCAGTTTTTGATCGCTGATTCTTAAAAATCGACACAGTATTAGGAGAATATAATCGGGTAGGAAGTGGCACTGGAGTTACAAAACTTGTCAACGCCTAAAAATTTGAGCCTTCGCGAGAGGCAAGCGAATGAAATACTTGATGACTTTGTCAGCTGTCGACGATTGCCATATCAAATAACCGAAACGTAATAACGGCACTTTAAAATACCTTCCGAAACAGATCGCCGTACCATAATTATCGATCAAATGTTTAGTTGTGAAAAATCAGCAAAATATCAGAAAGCAATCGGATGGACAGTTTTAAAAGACAAAACTTTAAACGTTGCGATTAAAAAAATTTTATTTGTAAATTTTCGTTATTTACACTGGCATGTGGAGGACTGCGATTAACTTGTTAACGAAACGCATATTCGCTGTATGCACAGGCATGACTGGCATGATGTTTTGCATTATTTATATAAGTGTATAAAATATTAGATACAATATGATCCAATGACATTAGATTACATACAATTTCTATGTAAAGAAATATAAGAGTCTTATTAATTTACTTTTACACGTAAACTAATGTAATCTGATCATATTCTAACAGTTATTTTAAACAGGGATGCGCACCGTGTGCAGCTAGTTTTACTACTTCTAATAATTCAGGCATTTCTTATACGTGTATTTGCGTGAGACAAATTGTCGTCATGATACACCAGAGGCGATGCGCGTTTATTGGATGTTAGTTTCGTGAGGGAAACGCCGCGCTGAAGTGGAACGAGCATCCGATACCGTGCGGTTTAACACGGGTAAGCGGCCATTCTTCTTCAAGGCTGCTCCTTTGTCATGCCCCTCGGTCAAGTTTTCGCCGTAGACTCGCCGTAGGATCGGCCAGGGCCGTGCTCTTGCCACAGTGACCTCAAAAGAAGAGAAGAAAGACCCCGGCGAGGTACCTGACGAAGGTCAACCTCGAAACCGAAGGAATTCCAACGAGCGATTTCATTTCCATCGCGGGCCGTCTACGCGGCCCGCGAAGACTCGCCTCGTCAAAATTTGACGAGCGAGAGACGAGCGCCGCGGCTCGTTCGCGACACCCTGTAGAGAGAAACACAACATGGACGGGACGAGGAGGGGAATAATCAAGAGCGGCATTAAGAGACGCGCTTGGCACATGTGTGGTCGTCTGGTGCCACTAACGCTGGTCTTTCACCCGCGGCAGGCCGGGTAAAAACCTTGTGGCCTCCCCCTGCTCCCCGCGTTATTTTCGTCAGTTTTCAAGTCGGACTCTGTGCCTGAAAGATGCATCTCTCTCTCTCTCTCGCGCGCGCGATGAGAACTCGAAGACGCGGCCCGGGGAGAGCGGAAGGGCGGGAGGGAGGAGGCTGAGGGGGAAGAAAGGGAATCGCGCCTACGAGGTCCGCCGAGCGCATAATGCGCCAGTATGCGTTTCCTCTCTTTTCCCTCTCGCCACGTAGAGGCGACCCGGCTCTTCGGGGCCGCCTCTATTTCTTTCTTTTCTCCTCGCGCTCCGCAAGAATTCCCATTCAAGTGAGATTAACTTATCTCTCGATTGCGCGCCCGGGGTGGGCCGCCTTTGAGAGAATCGCTCAGCGTGAATTCCGCGCGCGACGCACTTCTGTAAATAATTATTGATAGACAATAGGGCCGAAAGGAAACGCGAGGATAAGCGAGATGCGCTTTCACTCGTATTACCGTCAATTAAAAGTGAATTTTCCCTAAACATTAGACTCAAGACAGTGGGAAGGAGGGGGGGGGGTGGAAGAATAGAAGAAAACATTAGATCAGACGACGGTCGTTCTCGCGGCTTGCTTTATTCCGGATTTAACGCCGCTGGTAGACTCATTTACTCGCGCGACGCGCATCGCGGACGAGCGCCAGTACGGGCGCACAGGTTCAGGTTACTCCGCTCTTCCTTCAGTTCCTTCCCTCGTGATGCAGCTGATAAGTCGACATATACGTAATATACCAGACCGTCGTGCAGGCACCGCGCGAGTAGCGGTGTACACATGGCGTGTCGTGAAAGCGAAACACGCAGCTGGCCGGGAGGAGAATCGGGAGAGACGGGACGGGGAACTGACGTTACGAGGGGGGAGGGGAACCGTTAGATTATTTATTTCTTCTCTCTTTTTTTTTGTCGTCAAACAATTCGCGGAAGCCGATCTCACGTTCCGGCAGCGGGCCGCGAGTCGGATTTACATTTTATTAACAGAATTTACGCGGGTAGAGTACACGTGCGTGGACTCGTGTAATCTCGCGGCCGCGCGGTGCCGGGGTCTTGTTTCCCCGACTGGAAACCGCGCGATGTAGAGAAAGGATTGAACGAACAAGCAGGAAGAAAGAGAAAATGAGAGAGAGAGAGAGAGGAGAGAGAGAGGCGTAAGAAACAAAGAGAAGGGGAAAAAGAAGCTCCGAAGGAAAGTAGAAAGGAAGAGGGAGGGAGGGGGGAGTACGTACTATGAATACGTGCGTAAATCGACTGTAGTATAGTACTATGAGTCAGTCACACCCACAAGCCGGTTGTGGGTTCAAGCTCCTCTCTCTTTCTCTCCCTCGGTATACGCTCTCTCTCTCTTCCTCTCGTTTCTCTCTTTGTATACGCATGGACGCGTACGACTGTGCGCGCGTTGGCACGAGGTCACGCGTACGTATGTCACATCTATCGGCCTTGCCGCGCCGCGTTCTAATCGCGGTACTCAATGCTCGCCTAACGACCTAAGCGATAAGGGCGCGAAGATAGCGTGGGAGCTTCCGGAGCGTCCGGGATAATCGGCGGGAATCGGTCGTATCGATCAGAGCCGTGGCACCGAAGCTCGCTTAGTTTTTCTTCTTTTTTTCTCTCTATCTCTCTCTCTCTCTTTCAACGAGAGTTTCGAAACGCGTTGAAAAACCGCGAGACAGTCCCGCGAGTGTGACTCCATACCGATCGAGAGATTCCTCGTTCCCGCGAAGCTCGTAATTCTCGGGAAAACAGAGATTTCTCGGGCTCGATCGTGAGTCTTTTCTTCAGAATTTCATTGAAGAATTTCACTATTCGTCAATGAAATTTTTCATCTCTCACGAATTCACGCCAGAGGAAAGGATTCGCGATCGTGCCCCTCGTCTTTCCGATAAGGGCGCAACCGATCGGCGCGGGGCCCGTCGCGGCCGCAAACCGGTCCTGGATGCGCTTCGCCGGTGCTCGAAACACCTGACGAAACGTCCGCGGCGATGCGCGATGCAACTGATAAATACGACGGCGGGAGGGGGGGGGGCAGGCAGGACGTGAGGCGAGTGCATTGGGAATGTATGCGCGCGAGGAGCCGTCTTTGTGCGGGCGAGACCGAGAGCGGAACTGGTCGACTCGCGTCGCGCAACAAATCGCTCTTTCGTGGAAGAGATGCGGTCCCTCCCGCCCTTTGTTTGCCTTCCGATTTACGATTAGCGCGGCAACCACGAGCGGCTCCGCGATACAGATTCTCCCCCGTCCCTTCCCGCGGTGCGCGACAACATCTCGGGGAACTTTGAAAGAAAATCATCTCTGCGAGAATCGCCGAGGCGACGGGGGCCGCGCGCGATCGAGGGCCTCGGCGCGGCCGATCTCGCGTGAGCGCGGCCGAGTTCTTTGTGATCAGGGCTCGAACCGAGAAACCGGTTTCATTGGCGGAAGACCCTCTCGCTCTCGCTCCTTCTCTCTTCTCCCCCCCCCCCTTTCCGCTCCGCGAAACGAACCGAATATGAATTGTACGCCGCCCGTTTCAATAGACGGACGGAGCCGCGCGGCTCCGCCGGCGCGGCGTAAACTGGTTATCGCCGATCGTACGTAATGTAATCGACATGCGGACGACACGCGTCCGCGCGGCGGCTGCGTACCGATAAGCGCGCGTGCACACGCAGATGCGAGAGAGCGGCGTGTCACAACCCCTCGGTCTCTCCCCATCCCCCTTTTTTCCTCTCTTTTTTTCTCTTTACGCCAGATTATGTAAGCGGGGAAGATGCTCCGAGGGCCGGTCCGTAATCGCGAACATCGAGCGGGAACGGAATATTTAACGCGGCCGAATCGCGCGAATCAATTACCGTGCGTGTGCCAAAATACGTAAAAAAAATAATAATGAAAAAGAAGGGGCTTTATCGATGATCGCCGGGAGATGTTAATTGGCTCACGATCAAGCGCGACAGCAAACACGAGGCGCCAAGTACAGCGTATCAATATTTTATTACAAAATTGCAGTCATTGCACATATACATCAGTTACGCAGTTTACGCATTAATTTCGTGCGCCTACACGAAAGTTACACACTCATTAACGTTATATAGAAATATTACAAACAGGTACAAAAACTACGCTACTTTAATTTAATCGCTACCTTACGCTATCGCGCGCACACACACGCACATTCACGCACTCGCTCGCTCTCTTTCTCATTCATCCTGTTTGCCTATTTGTTTATCGATTATCTAAATGCCTTGTAAGCGTTAGAGCTTGGTCTTGCTCGCGTGGAATGAAATTACGTTCGAACGCAGCGAACGATGTATAAATACAATGTACAAATACTCCGTGCCGGATGAAAGCTCGACGATGAAATCCTCGGAATCCAGGACAAATTCGCCCGCTCGAATCTTCCGAAATTTTACTCGTAAATTTTCGAGACTCGCGACTGCACAAGAGAAAAACAAAATTTCGTCGAAGCTTCATCATCCATGGCCCGCAACGGGTCAACTTTCTCCCGTATAAATTATGGAATTATCCGCGTAAAAAAAACAACTGATGATCCGATTAAAATTAGAATAAATTAGGAGATTTCCTATTATTGATTAGCAATATCAGTCGATACATGTATAATAGATAAAAGTCATAACGCGACGAAGAGCTAAGTACGACGACTCCGTAAAAAAACCAAGAGATTCTCAAAAAAACTTTACGTAATATGCCACGGACGTGCTGGACGAGCTTACAGTCCTCGGTAAAAATCGGCATGAGATCGCGTGTCGTATCTCTGCTGTAATCTACGCGCTATCCGCTACGTTCGTATTTGTATCTTTGACCATTGTTGGCAGTGACGATTCCGTGAGCTCCGTGTTTTTGTCAATTTATTCCCTATTCGCGGACGGCACGTGGAAGCTGTATCGTTTATCTCTACGTGTATCCGGTATCTTCGAGAGATATGCAAATAAGAAGGTCGGAGGAATTAACGAGCGTTAAAAAGTGTTCGTTACAAAATTCGTAGTGGCGCCGTTAGACAAGTTAGGCGAGCGCAAGGGTGACTCGGTAATGTAACAGTTGCCCCGGCAAGCACCAGGTCCTCGGATCAAATCGGTTCGGAATTTTTTTCTGTCCCCCCTCGGTACCGGTTATTCCCTCGTAAATACGTGCGAACATGCACAATACGAAATGACCACTTACATCGGAGAGGTTCTCTTTTTCGCGCACGCCTACGGACTGGTCCCCATTACGGTATAAAAAAAAGGGAAAAAAAACAAAACCCTTTATACACTGTGTATGTACAGATATTTGTACACTTAAAAATTACAGTTATGTACAAGCGCGCTGTATAAAAAAGGTACATCGTTGTATAAAACACAATTATGTACAAAATCTCAGGCTGTAAAAAAAGTTACATGACGTAATTATTTACAATGGTCTGGCGATAAAAAAAGGGGAGGGGGGATGTGTGTACTTGGCCGCGTGTACATATACGTATATACTTAAATACGAGATCGTGTATAAATTGTCCCAGTAGTTTACTCCGCCTCGAGAAGCGAGCCGGCACCCGGTGCCGCCGCTCCGGGCCGTAGCGCGACAAGGTGCGCCTTCTTCCGGGGCGACGTCGCGTCGACCTGCTGGTAGACGTAATCGTTCGGCGAGCTCGTGAGCGTCTTCTGGCGCTTGGCGCACGAAACGAGCTCGTATACCAACGGCTGCTCCTGCCTCGGGAAGTCGTTGAGCCGCGTGTCGAGCAGGTCGGCGGCGTCCATGAGCTCGAGATCCTCGTAAAGCTGCTCCACGACAATGTTGTCGTCGACGATGTCGATCTGCTTTGCCTCGTCGTACGTGACGTTCTCGTCGTCGTTGACGGCCTCGTCCGCCGCGGACCCACCCGTCTCGGAATCGGCGTAACTCTCCGCGTCCTCGTACGTCTCCTCGTGCCGGTCACCCTCGTACTTCATCTCGCCCCGCTCGAGAAGCTCCAGCTGATCGGGATTCACCATCGCCCGCTTGATCGCGGTCGGATCCTTCCTCGACCACTTGCGCACCTCCTCGTCCATCTTGGTCACCTTTGACGGATGGATGGCCCAGAGGCAACCCTTGCGCTGACTGCCATTGCCGGGCGGCTTCTCGATCTTCTCGAAGCACTTATTCAGCGACAGATTGTGCCTCACCGAGTTCTTCCAGCCAGTCGGCGCGGTCGTAAAGTAGGGAAAGTGCCGGCTGCGTCAACGAAACGGGAAAATGGGGCATGAAATTTGAGCGCATCCGAATTTTCATTAGCGTGAGAGATCAGAGAATTGGCTGGCAATTGATAATTGAGCTTAATGATTGATAATTAAATTTTTTTTAATCGCTCGAAATTACATAATTCAATCACAGGACTCTAATAATAAAGTCTAACTCTGACCAAGTTTACTTCCTCGAGAAAGATCGTCCCTTTCGTCATTCGGAAAAATATTTCGCGCGAGACGATCCGTAAATTGAGCGGGTCTTAACGTTCTCGTTTGGCAGAAGAGCTCTAACGAAACACGACTGCGAGAGACGACAGTTATTTTACGAGCACGGCCGTGAGTTGCAACGGCGAGAGACGAAGGCAGGTGGTAAGCGAGGAGAGCGGGGCCCGCCGTCGATTTCTAGGGGGGACTGTACACAACCCGGCGTGCCCCCGGTTGTTCCAAGGGCCCCATACAAAATGGCAGCTTCTCGCTTAGCTCCCTTTCCGACCCGTAAAACCGAGGAGAATAAAGAGGGAAAAGACAATACTTTTGCCCTTCGTGTACCTAAGCGCGAGGTGGGGGGCTCTGCCAGACCCTTTATCCTTCCGGCCAAATGGCCGAAAATAAGCAAACGGGCGACACGTTATTCATCAAGCAAAAAGTCCCTCGTTGTTCGACCCGAAAACATTTGTTATGGCGATACCTCACGTTGGGAACTATAGTAAATAATTTGCCAGGGCACAAACGTTTCCGCTACGATTTCCGAAGACTCGAGAAAATTCGAGAGAAGTAATCCATTTTTCGAGAAGCTATTCCAAGAATTGCAGTTATCCTTCGGTCGAAGTTATTTTATTCACAAAGGAAAATGCGTACTTTTCCGAGACGATGTAATTTAATTATCAGTCTTATATTATCAATATTTAATTCCAGCAACTAAGCATTAGTTTCCAAATTGCAATGCGTTCTCCGCGGTAACAGTTTGAAAAGCACTCACCACATGAAGTTGTAGATTTCGGAGACCGGCAGCGATCCTGTCCGGCTGTTCTTCAGTGCCATCGCGATGAGGCACGAGTACGAGTACGCGGGTTTCGGATAAGAATTGTCACGGCTCCCCGTCAAGTCTTTCTCGCGCTTTGCCGCCTGTATCATCACCGTCGCCGTTGCGCCCGCACTGACGTCGTGAACATTGTTGTTGTAGGACATCTGCTTGCGGATCTGATGCAGCGTCTGGATGCCCTGGTTCGCCGCGAGCATCTTGATGTCCTGGACCTTGACCGTGCCGGATATGGTACTTATTTTGGAGTGATGCAACCTCGTCAGCTGTATCGTCGGCGGGGAGGCGGCGATGGCGGCGGCGGCGGTTAACGTCCTGGCGCCGACGTTGGCCGACGACGACGACATCGACGTCGGCGCCTCCACGCTCAGGGGTGTGAGCGGCTGTTGAACAGCCACGTCCTGCTCGTCGTCCTCTGTCTCCTCTTCCTCGTCCTCTTCCTCCTCTTCCGTCTCCTCTTCCTCCGTCTCGTCCTCCGTCTCGTTGTGCTCGTTCTCCTCATTCTCAATCTCTTCCTCCTCCTCCTCCTCCTCCTCGCTTTCATTCTCCTCGTCGTTTTCGGTTCGCTCGACCTCACTTTCGTTCTCCGTCTCGTCTCCCTCGTTTTCGGCGGCGTTCTCCTCCACGCTCGCGGTCTCCAGCATCGCCGCGTCGCTGTTCGTCGCCGGGCTGTCGATAGACATGTTGTGCGGCAATACCAAATTCGGATCCAACGTCAGGGCCAGTTCGTTGTCGCTGTCCAGATTCAATTCCTCCAGGTTGCTATGGAGCACAGACAATGTTAAACTTTCTATAAACTTAATTGAAATGAAGCTCCCTCCAATTTAAACTCTGTGAATTCCCGCGCCTTAGTAGAACATTGCAAAGTCCTACGGTAATGTATATTTTTCTTTTTCTGAATTTAGACAACTTTTACTATGACTAACGTCTCTCCTTCATTGCAGATAAAGGATCCTCCAAAGGGAGTTCGTCTCACCTGTTCGAACTGCGGCTCTTGTCATTGAAGCCGAGCGGTTCATCGTCGGGCTCCGTCAAGACGTCGTCGAAGTCAAAACCGAGGCCTGGACCGAGCCAGCCGATCTCGCCGGTGTTATCGCAACGCCGTATGCCCATATAGAACATCTCTGGACGACCCTGGATGGCGTCGGAGATGCTGTCGCTGCCGAACAGGCAGTCCCATGGATCCCCAGACAATCCCTGCTCCATCCCGACGGTATTGTACGCATTTACGGTGTCCAATTCCATTCACTCGACTGCAAAGGAGAAAAACCGTAGCGCCTTTAGAAGACTAGCCGTCAGGACGTTGCCAAGTGATACGACTGGGCTGCAATCCGCCGACAATTACCCCTCCGAAATAGTTTCATTTTCGTAAAAGCGACACCGCCATAACGAACGCCCCGCGTCGCTCTGTATCGTAAGAGCGATATTACGCAGCGTTTTATAGCTCCATAAAGAATCTAACTTCGCAGCTGTGATACGAGATATTGTCTCACAGAGTTTATGCATTATATATTTATTCTTTATTACATCTCTTTCCATTTCGTTACGTGATCTCTGTAACTGTGTCACATACTCGCGACTGCAGACCTTCTGAAAGAATTAAGGCCCGAACGCACGAGGGAACTCGAGCGGTAGAACTGAAGACTCGAGAACTTGAACCAATCGGACTTTTCAGCATCGCTGAAGTTTCTAAATGGCTGCTTACGCTCTCGACAGTCATTGGGCATTTCCCTCGAGTCTTTTCGCGTGTTCCGGCCTTTACGTCGCTCTCGTCACCTCCCGACCATCAGCGGGACTAGTCTGTGTCTCAACGCGCGTGTTTCGCCGACACGAGGGAGAGCACTTCCGATCCAGCACGCAGCTCGTAGATCGATCATTTTTTCACGGAATTGCCGCGCGAGGGCACCTAGACCGGCGTCTACGGCACCGCGAGCCGCTCCGTCGTAGGAATAAACAGAGCCCGCGCGAGCACGTGAGAGCTCCCGAGAGAGTTGCTCGTCGAATGAAAGCAGATCCGTTCCTTGAAATACCGCGCTTATCCCGCCGATCGGGACGGCCGGTCCAGGGGCTCGGCCCTGCATTCGCGTCTCCAAATCCATAAGTCATCCACCTCGCGTCAATCGTTTCAACCCGAGGAGAAGAAAAAAAATAACAGGAACGCATTGTAAATTGCATTAATCTATAAAGAAGCTCGGGTACGCGTCCGCGATCGTACGGTCCCTCCGCAATCACGATCGGCTGTATTCGCCTTGAAAATTCCCACGTTATCTCAGGTCTTTATCAGCGTCGTGAGCCGCGAATACAGCGAGTGCCAGGATCGGCGGTTCAGTGTCTCACTACGTAAGGCGAAGACGATAGATTCCGCGCGTACGCGGGAACCTCGCGTATGCCGGCGTACAATTACACGCGCATGCTTTTACACGTGTGCGTGTAGTGGTGCAAGAGGGAGAGGGAGGGAGAGAGAGAGAAAGAGCCTACGAGGATCTTGAACCCACAACCGGCTTGTGGGTGTGACTAACTCATAGTACTACAGTTGGCTTACTATATGCACGGGCTTCGTAGTAGAAACCCCCCCTCGCTCCTCCGCTCCCACTCGTCCGCAGCTCTTTTTTTTCCCCTCCCATTCTCCGTGTCTCTTCATGATTATCTCTCATTAAAAACTAATAACGGACAATCGACGAGCCCTGAGCGGCGGAAACGCCGCTGGAACGGGCGAACGCGACAGGGAAATCTCGCTTGGGAAAGGAGACAATGCCGATCTAAACGGGTGACTCGCGCGCGAATTTTAATAAGTTACGTCATGCGCGAAGTCGCTCGGAGCGCAGCTGGAACGAAAGCGCGCGCGAGAGAGAGAGAGAGAGCCCCCCTTTTCTCAGCGCGGAGAGAAGCGAGTATCAGCGCGCGCCAGGGCATCGATTCGAATATTCCACCGCGTAGATTGTGCGTAGTCGCAACATCCGGATCTCGCGATGGACCAACCGTAGATACACACGGCCGCGCCGTCTCCGCTCGGCCCGCGCTTTTCGCCGAGTATCGATCTGATACGTCTACCCTCCTCCCCCCCCCCCGTTTCCCCGGACCTCTCCCTATCCCCCTGACACAGCCGCCCCTCGGTCGTATCCTTCTCCCTCCTCCCCCTCCGGCCCGCGGTACGACCAGTATTTGCGAGCTGCAGGAGTGTGCACCCCGCGCGCAGCGTGCACCAATGCCGCGCCCAGGTTCGTCAGGGTGGCACCCTAAACACTCCCCTGGCCCCGTTGCCCGTTTGAAAATTTACCCCTCTCTCTCTCTTGCTCCCGGTCTCCCTCCGACCCTTCATCCCTTACGCCCCCCCTCGGCGCTGCTCGTTACCCCTTAATACCGCTCGCTGGGGGCGAATTAATGCTTCTATCTTTGTAAATAGGAGAGCAGATATCGGATTTCGTGTTACTCCGACATTTTTAGCGAGTTTCGGGATATACGAGTTTCTTCTCCCGCGCGGGTTTTCTCCGTCGCCGCGGCCGCCGGGCGATAATCCGCAAACGCGGGACGTTGACCGGAGTAATACGAATAATTTTAATTGTACCGAGAAACCGGGGGAAAGTATCCACGCGGCGAGGAATCTGTTGCGGCATTCGATGCGGCGGCAAGCGTTATCCTTCGGAACGAGGGCTCTCCGTTCCGTCGATCGAAAGTACTTCGAGCCTCTAATTTTGGAGTCGCGACGTTAGACCCACCGAAATCCATCCATTCCCATCGGCTCGCGACGCCAGTCGCGGCGGATTAACACCGACATGTGTCGCTTACACGGCACGGAGCGACTGGCGGGCACAATGACGTGTCTGTGCGCACGTCGCATCGACGTACAACGCGTGGCACCGTACGCACGTGGCCGCGCGGAATTGGCGCGAAAAAGTCTCGTTGCCGACGTCGACGTCGCGCCGCACGGTGACTCACGGTGGAGCATTCGCAGAAGATCGCCCACAGTTCTCCGGACGCGGATATCGCCCGCGTCTCTCTCTCTCTCCCTTTCTCTCTCTCGCCCCGACGGAAACCTGTTCTGCACGCCCGCCCTCCTCTCTCGCTCTCTCGATACTCTCATGTCCATTACGCGGCAGTGATAAACAACGTCGCGGGGCACTTCGTTAAGGCCACGGCCGCATTCGAGTATCGATTCACGCGCTTATCGCTCGTCCGAGGGATAAATTTCTCGGGCGGTCTCTCCGCGCGGGTGTCCCGCGGCCCGGTCTTCCAGCGATTTAGAAAGGATATCGCGCGGCGAGCTGTCCCTTTCTAGACCGCGCCGGCCTCTAATAACATACTTACCGCGGCTGAAGCCACAGACTTCTATGCACTCCTAGCCTGCTGCCTTCGAGCTCTGAAAAGTGAGGCGAGAGTTCTGTTTTGTTAGGTAAATAAAGTAGTACGCGCGCATGGGTCTGTCAGTGACGCACATAATACTTTAGATACCTAACGAGACATGGCGGAACCCTTGCCTCACTCTTCAGCTCGAAGGTAGCAGTCCAGTAGTCAGGGTTGGGAAGTAAAGCCCAACACGATACTAGTTTTCCTACCGGATTGCTCGTGAGAGCCAATAAGGATGCAGAGTTTTAGATCAGATGACTTGAGGCTGAATTCTGTTTGGCTCTCGTAAGCAATCCAGTAGGGAAAAATAGTATCGTGTGCCGCTGGCTTTACTTGTAACGGAGTTACGGGGACAGTAATTTTTTTTTGGTAGCTCCAACTTAACTACATTTATACTTACGACTTTAATCTACGTAACTTATTTATTTGTCAGCTCGTCAATCATACTTTACTTCTACTCTCTGTTTATTGGCTACAAAATAGAATGCTTTTAGATGCAAAGAGCACATTGCAGGTCAGGCTTGAACGAGATTATCGGTAGCGCCGTGGATCTCGTATGCGCTATTTCTCTCTTTCTCTCTCTCTCTCTCTCTTCCTCCACGCACAGTGCGTATCCGAGCGCGAGGGGCACTTTCGGAGCGGGGGAGGGGGAGGTGCGTCTCAAACGTAACCGGGAACATCGAGATCGGGAGAGATTTATGCATCAGCGATACTTTCCCCAGCTCGCGGTTACGAAAGACCCGCGTAATCGCGCACCTGAAACGGACGTCTCTCTCTCCTCGGCTTAACGTCGATCTCTCACGGTGTATTTACTAATCCCGTCTTCTGACTAATTCCCCGATGGGTTCACCGGGCGCGGAAGTTTTTGCTTTCACCGGGGCCGGCGCGGGGCAAGCGAGCCAATCGCCGGGCCCCTCCGAGATCTTGCAAAATTTCGCACGTTACCGCGGAACCAGGCGTACACGCGCCTCTTACAATGGTACGCGTTTCCCAATGTTACTTCTCCCTTCCCCCCCCCCCCCTCCTGTCCGACGCGGAGAAATTACAATGTGCTTCTCGTAATACCGGCAAAACGACGGAATAGGATCGATGAAATTGCGAAATTCCGCGGACGTGCGCGCGCGTTGATCGCCGCGTCGTTCCCGGGATTATATCGTTCTTTCCCACGAACTGGTAATATCGCGCAATATTTCCGCGTAAATAGAAAAAACCGCATTACAAATCGAATTGCAATTGCAAATCGGACGAGTGCTCGCGGCTGCCGCGAGCGGAGCGCGGGCGAATTGGGCTGATCGCGAACGGAGTGTTTCCGTGAGGCTCGCTGCGCTCGCGCGATATTATCGAAGCGCCGCGCGAAAGCGGACCGGGGCGAGCGTTTCCATTCCGCGTTCCCGCTCCCGTGCCATCGCCGCTGAGGGCCCGAACGCACGAAAAAACCTTAGCGGCGAGACCCAAGACCGCAGGGCAGTGACCAATGACAGTCGAGAGCGTAGGCGGCCATTTGAAACTTGAGCGACGCCGCTCGAAATTCCCGAATGGTTAAAATTTTCAGGCCCTCGAGTCGCGAGTGTTCCCGCGCGTTTCCAAAGCTTGAAACGGAAGACCCCCCGAGCGCAACAGTAACACAACGGCGCGAAAGCACGAAAGCACAATGGCGCGTTAACCCGCGCGCCGTTACGCGCGTGTGAGGCCCCACACGGCTAACGACGCGAGAGTCTCCGATTGTTTCGCAAAATTCGTTTCGCGACGAAAGAGCAAGCGAGAGAGCGAGGAGCCGAGGGGGGGCCCCCCCGAATTAAAACGCACTCTTCCGTTGCGCTTTATCAAACGATCTCCTTCTCTCCCGCCGCCGCGCGCGATGACTTTCTATTCTATAAATTATTCACGGCGCGCACCGCGAATAGATATTTATATGTGTATAACAAAAGTCAATAATTAAATCGACGAAATTAGCGACTGTTATTTATCGACCGCTTGCTCGAAGGCGCACGAAATCTTTGGGGGGGGGGGGGGGATTAAAGTTAGACGCACCGCAAACTTGGGTGGCTTTGCGGCCGCTTTTTCGGTATCTGCTGTGCAAAAATTTATCTTAAAATTTATAATACCTACCCTCTAAAAGCCAATCAGTGACTAATCGCTGAAAACAGTGAACAGTCATTGATTCACAGTTTACATCGGTTTAATTAGTTTAATAATATGTATAATATAATTACAATTAACTATATATATTCACGATTTTTAAGTGACACTATTCAATTCTCTCAATTAGTTCTGTCGATATTCACTAGCGCAAAGATAATTTTCACTTAAGCGGCACTAACCGAAATGTTAAGTCGCTCAACTATAAAAAGAACGGTCAAAATTTTTCCCCGAGTAGAGTTACGAACGTTCCAAATAAATCAAGTACTAATTGTGGGCCCCAAAATGGGTCGCTGTCTTTTTCTCCCCGGAGCAGTCAATGCCAAGCTTTCATTTTTAAATGGTTTTTATATACCGTGGGTGTTTCGAGATAAATTTGTACGGCGCGAGCGAGCACCGAAAACGTGGTCGAAGCTACCCGGGTTTGGCCGAAGTCGCCCGAGTCTACGGTGTCCAAAATTTCATCGCCCGCGCATGGAACCTTTTAGAATTCTCCGAGAAGGAAGCCCCCCTTCTTGGAAAGCGCGGCGGCACTTTTCCGCTCGGCGACGTCGTTTTCAACGCCGCGATTAATCCTTCGGCGACGCGGACGCGAGCGGGAAGCTACGCGATGCAGCGAAGTGCTCTCGCGTGCTCCGCGACGAGGGTATTATTCTTTTTTTCCCGGTCATGCAGGCCGGAAACGCGCGACTTTACCCAAGCAACACGTGACTGTGGCAAAAATGGTAAAATTGTCGTAGAGCTCTCGACAAACGTTCGAGTATCCGACTACCTAACGGCGAATCGCCGGGACTGCGTGCAAATCTTCTACCTGATGTTCCTTTCCTGCGGCTCTTCGATGCTGTGCGTTGCCACGCATTTATTATTATTAGAGAAAAGTCCTCCATCGCGCGAGATACCGGAGCCCAGTATGAGATAGCAGGTTTTCAACGTCCAGATTCAATCACAAAATAATTTCTCTTTTTATTTCAAATACATCCCTTATCGCACGTGTCTTACTTTCTTCGCAACGACTACACGAACTGTAACAATCCAGTTTCCACTAAACACACATTTCACTCCAATTGGTGGAACCAACAGATGATGCGTATTAAAGGATAACGCCACTCTAGCGTCCGGAAGAACCGCCTAATTTTGACAAATTTTTATGGTAATATGATAAATGGAATATAAAATCTGTTTTAAGGCCTTCATTGTATGATACATACATGTACATACTTTGAAATGTATTCACGAATTTTTTTCAATTTCGTCTTAATAAAATGGCGGCGTCCGAGCTCAGCAAAGGAAGTCTATTACTTTCCGCGGCGGGGTTGAAGCTTGGAGGAGAAATCTTTATATTCCCGTAAAAACTTGTCAAAATTAGGCTGTTTTTCCGGGCGCTAGAGTGGCACTACCCTTTAATTCAGCAGAAGCTCCGCTATCCCGCAATAGGGGGACTTTTCTCTGTTATTATGTGCCACGTGGCGAAGGCGTGATAAGAGCCGACGCAGCGGCTCCTCATTGACTGCGTTCGGAAGAAAAAACCGCTCTGCAACCGCCGCGAAAATTTATGAATCCGAATGGAGCACGCTCTTAAACCCCAGTCGGGTTCGAGCGCTTACGCCAATTAGACTTCTTTCCCACCGAACGCAGCTATCGCGGGTCCCCCCCGTTCCGCCGATATCGGAGGAAGCGCGCGGTACTTTTGTGCGCGCCCGCAGAAAACAATTTCCTCTCCTCGCCAGGCGTCCCTTTCTGCCGCGCGAACGATAAATAGGAAGGGAGGAGAAGATAAAAAAATATATATCCAACAGAAGAGACGTTCCGTCATTACCGTTCCGTGTTCTCCGCGCCTTTCCGCCTCCGTTTCTTTATCCCGTGCCTTCCTCTGCCCTGCCTTCTCTCCGAGTCGGACTGAAATAATCGTCGGGGAGCACGAGAGAATGACAGAGCTTCGTGCTACGAGAGGGCACGGACGAAAGAGAGAACGTAGACGGCAAGGGAAGGAATGTGAATTTCGGCCGTACCTGCAAGGACCATGGGCCGCTTCCTGCGGCGGGCATATGGCGAGGGAAACAGGCCAGAAGGGACCGGGGGTTTCCCCGGAAGGTTCTCACGGTCAATAGCTTTCCCGGCGGCATGCGGCTGGAAAGTGCCGCTCGGAAGGGGCTGCCTTTTCCCCCCTGCCCTCTGCCCCCCCCCCCCCTCGCCCCGCTCACGACCCGTTCGCCGTCGTCCTTGCCCGCCGCAGGGCCACACGCTCGTGTTTCGTCGCCTAACTCCACAACTCCGTCCGCCGGCGTTTTTGAAAATCGAAATAAATTTTCATCCGCGCTGCTCGCACGAGCGGGGCGTAAAACGGGGCTTTTAACGAGGGTCCCTTGCGCGTTTCATAAATCAGGTACCCCTCCACCCACCCCCCGGGGGAAAAGGATCGGGGACAAAGGGACGGCAAGAGGACGAGGTGGCGGGTTTTCATCTCGGCGACGTTATTCCGGCGGCCAATTAAACGTTGGCGATCCGCGCGGAATTACTATTCGTGGCTATCAATGGAAATCGATATCGTCGTTGGCGGTTTCGGGCGACGAGGCGAAGTCGCCGTCGCCGTCGGATATAATAATTACGCGGGAAAACCGTCGGCGAATACCGCAAAGTGCACCGCGAGTTTATACGCGATACATGCGCGAGGGGGGGAGGAGGCGGAGAACGAGGAGAGCCGAGAGGAAGCGGACGGAAATCGGAAAAGTCGCGCCGACTCGAGTCGACGGCGCGGAGCGGACGTCTCCGGGCAGTCTCGCGCGGTTTCCGCTCTCGCGGAAAAATTCGTTTCCGCGAGACCTTTGTCTCCTCCTCCTCCACCCGTCCTCGCCGATCGAGCGCGAAAGTATCGCGAGGCGGGAGCGTCTTGGGCGATTTCGGGCGATTTCCCGAGAATTCGGCAAGTCTCGGGAAAGCCGCGAGATCCGATTTCCGGAAGGTTCACACACACACACACGTACACGCTCTCTCTCTCTCTCTCTCTCTCTCTCTCTCTCTCTCACCCCCGTTGGAGCACTCGCATGGCTGCCTCTCTCCCTCTCGCGCGGTCACGCGCACTTACTTGACATTGTTCGTAACTTACTGGACCTACGCGCGTATCCGCTCGCCCATCTCCGCCGGGCGCTCGAGGGAACTCTGCTCACGGAGCGCACGGCGCTCCTCTCTCTCTCTCTCGGCCACGCACCTTTACGCATTCTCGCACACATACACGTGGGGACGTGCACGCAGGCGTTCGCGTACACATCCGACACGCCGTTTTTGTCGCGTATGCATGCCCCGTGCGCCGACATCCGTCAACGCGCGGGCGTGCTCGCACCGTTTTCGTAACACTCCGTTGTTTTGATCCCTCGGCATTCCCGCGCCCGACGACTAACGCCTCCTCTAACGATTCTCGCGCTTCCCGCCGAAACTCGTTCGCGCCGCGGGCGCGTATTCGACGCGCGTAGAGACGGCAGAAGGCGGCCGGATTGTTTACGCTCGCGGATCGTCGTCGCGCGATCGGCGCCGTCGCGGACACAACCGCGCGGATCGACCTGGGGGGGGGGGAGGAGGCCACGGCAGCGAGAACGAGGAGGATCGTCTCTCTCTCTCTCTCGTCCAAACGGAGTCCGAAACGAGCGAGGAGACGAGAACGGGGTGGTGGGCGAGAGAAGAGGAGAAAAAAACAACATCGTCGATCTCGCTCTCCGCGCTCTCTCGACGGACAGAGAGAGAGAGAGCGCGCGCGCGCACTGGCGGGCGAGGGACGGGATGGACGGACGGACGTACGGGACGGGACGAAACGAGACGAGACGGGCAACTAGACATTTTCGCGGGGCATATTTACGCGGCGCGCCGTATAATGGCGCCAGACCTACCGTATATCGATACTGCGCGTCCGACGTTCCCCGAGTCGCACTGCCCTGTCCGCGTCGGCCGGCACTTTCACACATATATTTACGTTGCGAGGCCGCGGTCGAGGATTTTCGGCGCAGCGACCATGTATAAACCGTACACCGACACGGGTCCCCCTTGACGGAACTGAGGCAACGTTGGGTTGACACGGCTGGCCCGTGAACAAAGACCACAAGATTTCAAATCCCGCCGCGCCGATTGGCCGGCCGCGGTCACGTGGCCGCGGCGCCCGCCCGCCTATTGGCCGCCCGTCACGGGGGTGCGAGGACGTTTTGAACGATGCGCCGCAATGCACATGGCTGACAAAGGCGGACTTCCCGCGGGGGAGTTTGGCGGAGCAGCGCGGCCGCCCGCGCCCGCGACGTGCCCGTCGCCGACGGTCGACGGCCCGGAGGCGATGCCGTCGACGCGCACGCACATACACACGCCGCACTCACGCGCGCCGCGTCGCCGTCGCGCACTCGGGCCGCCCTAACCTTCCCCACTCGAAAAATGGCCGAACCCAAAACAACACCGCGCGCGCGGAAACTACACACTCCGTCGGACGACGGCACGTATAACCCCGGCACGTATCACGGCCACCGCTGGCCGCCCGCGTCGCGGGACCGCGCGATCTCTTCGGCTGCTCGCGGCGCGCGCCAGCGCCGAGTCGGTCCGCCGAGTTGGGTCGCGAGCGCGGCGAATAATCGCCGTCCCGTGTAACGAGATTGAAAACGACGGGCGAGTCCATTGCTGCCACTACGGAGGGGAGTCGGGCAGGCACTCTGCCCGGTTAAGAATGAAGCACTGGCGCGCCGCGATAATGGCGGGAAGGTACGGCGGGCCGTACGTACGCGCGCACGCGGCCACATGGGCATTTATCGGGCTCCGCGCGGCCGAGTACACACCGCGCACCACTTTGGCTCTCTCTCTCGCCGTTTCACTTCGCGCTCCTCTTGGCGCTCCCGCCGAATTTTCGGCGCGGCAACTCGCTATTTTCCCTCCGACGTGCGAACACCGTCTCGCCCAGGCTCTCTTACCTCCGAAATCAATAGATGGTCTCTCATGCGAATTATCTTTTCTCCGTATCCTTTATTCGTAACACTCGCCACCACTTCAATACATCTCTCTACGATACTTCCTTAAAATATGTATTACAAAACATTTTCATTATTTCAGTCTATTCCGCGGTTTCATTGCGCGCACTGCTTCGCGGCTCCGTTTCCCATCCTTCAATCTTGGGTCTCCGTCGTTTCTCCGTCGCGAAGATACGCAATTCTGCGCGCGTCATCAGCCTTGTAAAAATATTTTCTCTTGTATATAACATCCGCAGATATGTTCCACGCGAGTATTAGATTTATATCCAAGTATATATGCGAGTGTGCTTCGTTGGAAGCTCTACAGTCTCGAGGAATTTCTCCAATTCTAACAGATTGCTTTGGTCCCGTTTATAGCACCGTTCCTTCTCCTGCAGTCTTCGTGAAAATCTTGCGTGATTGATTCTCCAATCACCTCCGTATCGTCCTGATATCGTTATTCGAGCGGGTGCTCGATGTAACGTGGGTACGCTACATTCCATCTACCTTCTAAACTCGCATTCATCTTCTGGATCGTTTTATGCTCGTCGTCTCTTCACAGACATTCGCTTCGTATTATTTCTCTGGAGTAAACGTCTTCAAACAAATCCACTCGACAATAAACATTTCAAATAGCCATAACATTAGTATATAAAAGCAACGTAGAAATATATATATTTATCGACTTAGCGTATTATTGCACGTTAATTATGACCTCTTGAATATAGCAAACGCTAAATTAATAGGTTTCGCATTGGCAGAACGAGTTGGCTCTAAATATGGCACTTTTGGTATCTCATACGTAGCATACGAAGCGTCCGCTTAAACATTCGCAACGCTCGGTATTATTTTGGTATATATCTCTATTCCCTTCAGGAATACGTCCTTGTTCAGATATTCGTCGTGATCATGGAGAAGTATCATTGTCTTGTTCATCGGTGAGAAGCAAAGAGCGGGAATGCCGACCTGTGAAGTAAACATACCCAAAGTTATACTTAATCGAGTTATATACTTTCTGAAATATACATAGAGGAAAGTTCCCTATTACGAGACAAGCTTCTAACGTAAGACAGCATGGTCTCCGCTAAATTAATAGCATCATCTGTTGGTTCTATCATGAATTGCCCTCGGAGTGAAATGTGTTCAGTGGAAAATTCATTGTTGGATCGTGCAAATGTTGTGGGAAAAAGATTTGTGTATGAATTTGGGTGCCGAAAGCTTGCCGTCTCATATTAGAAATCTATTTCGTAATAAAGGACTTTCCTCTACAATTGTAATGTATTAAAAATCATGACGATCTACACCTCCCGTAATTAACACGATGTTACAGTCTGAATTTCAACGCGACGTTTTACTTTTGTTACCAACGCCTATCTTAACGAAAACCACGATTTATATTTTACTTTAAAACTGCTATCCTTAATCCAAAATCTATATTTGCAAATAACAAAGGTATAAAAGTACTGAGAGAATTATTTGTAAAACTTTGAATCCTTCAAGTAACATTTTCTGGAGCACATATGAAACGAAGCGTGAGATGTAAGCTTCCAAATAACTATTGTACATGTAAACATATAAGTCGTAGTAATTACAGTGAAATAATAATACATATTTCTTCTTGTGTTATATTTAAATTAAGTTTTTAGCACAAAGGGCAATCCGATGCTTACCTCTCGCACAAAACGGCTGTCTGTGCCTCCCGCGAAAATGCCTATTTCCAAGTCGACGCCAATTTTATCGCAGGTTTTCTTAAAGGCGATCCAGAAAGGATTAGAATCGTCGAGCTTGGTGTTCTCAATTTTGGGATTTTTCTCTTCAAAGGTATAAGTTACATCTGGACCGGCTTCTTCGCACCAGCGTTTGATGGTGGCTTCAAACTCCTCGTGATCAACGGAAGGTGTTAGACGAATGTCGAACATAGCGCTTAGCTCAGTGGGTATAACGTTGGTCTGTACACCACCCTGTAAATGAGCGCATTGAATTAGTTGACAATCAGTGGTCAAGCATGCAGACAAACGAAGAGCGTAAAATTTCAATGAAGACATACATTGGCAAAATAGAGTCTTGATGCAAGTACCAGGTAAGAAATAATAAGTGAAAAATTATATCTAATGATTATCAACGTTAACTGCAAGTGTTATTAGAATACTCCAAATACTTACTGTGTAACATGAAAATCCCAATGGAACAGACATATAAAGCAAACAAGTATATCATGTAATGGCTTGAAAATTGAAGCTAATCGATTTGTTTGTGTCTTTGCCAGTACGCGAATTCAGCGCCTTGTTGCAACATTTCTATATGAATTTAATATAACCGTAAATGAAAGAAAAGAGATACCGGACAATGGTTCTGTTCGTAATTTTAAAACGAATTGACAAGTGTCGCTTAGGTAAACTTTATTTCACGAAAAACTGCACGCGTTGCGCGATACCTACCCAAATTTTCGTAAGATTCACGGACGTCACTCCGCCGAGGCTGGTCGCCAATTTCCTCGGATCTTTGGGGAGTTTCGCTTTCTCGGAGGCCCTGAAGTCCGTGAAGCGGTCGATTATGACTCTCAATTTTTCCCCGGCCGTGTTGTCCAGCATGATCGACCCGTGGCCGGGATTGCCCGCGCACTTAATTTCAACGTGCCAGATCGACCTTTCTCCATTAAACAAGTAATAGTTCTCGAAAGGGCAGGCCACTCCCTCGTCCAGCGCAAAACCGACGTTCAGGGCCTTGAAGTCCGCGGTGTGCACAAACTCTTTCATTCCGAGGACACCGCCGATCTCCTCGTCCGGGACGAAAGAGACGTGGATAGTGCGCTGGCAGCGTTGCCCGTTCAGCTTGAGTTGGCGAATCGCCTCCAAGTACTGTATTCCCACGCACTTCATGTCTTGGCTGCCGCGTGCGAAGATGTTGCCCTCCTCGTCCATGTGAGCGCTGAACGGCGGGTAGGTCCATTTGTCCTGGTTCAATTACACGTTGTACAATCAAGTATTAAGAGCGAGCGAGTTGATTATGTGACTGAGCAGTTGCTATATATAGAAGAAAGTCCCCTATTATAAGATAGGCTCCTAATATGACACAGCGAAATATCCGCTAAGTTAATAAACATCGTCAGTTAGTTCCACCATGTACTTATTGCCCTTGGAGTGAAATCCGTTTGGTGGAACATTGACTGTTACATCGTGCAGTCGTTGCGAAGACAGATTTGTCATTGAATTTGGACGTTGGAAAGCTACTATTTGACATTAGCATACTGTCTCATAACAGAGGACTGTCCTCTACGTTGTTTCCCGCAAGTTCGAGGACTCACTTCGAAAACAGGCACAACGTCCATATGACTGTTCAAGAGGATCGACGGCTTCGTCGGTTGCGTTCCCATCCATGTTAAGACCACGATCGGCTTCTTGGGATACACATGGTAGACTTTGATCGGCAAGTCAAGGGACTGGGCTTGCCTGGTCAGGAACGCCACGCACTCATCTGAAATGAAAGGCACAGCAAGTCAGAATGTGTTATGCACGGAATTCCGAATGCATGCGAATGCAGGCTCTTATCTGATCCGGAGTTATTAAAATGTTAAGACTTGTGCGTAACAACCAGTCGCCAAAATATTATTAACTGTTGCGTTAATAGACAGAGCAAGGTAGATTTTAAATTTCAAAGATGCTACAATTGATACATAAATCGGCGGCCGCGTTAATGTTACGTTAATGGTTACATTGTATCGCGTTAATGTTTGAAATTACTCGGTGTTCCGTTTAACGTCGACTCTAATTGAATCCGTATGGAATTTTCGAAGCTTTATTAAATGTACAAGGTTCAAACGGTTGTTTGCGCGCGAGACGACGTCTCGCTGTACGAAGGTGACAAGCGTTACATAAACGCGATAACAATCTCGCCGTATCGCAAAAAATTAATTTCCCCGCAGATACCCGGCCGGCAATCGCGTAATAATCGCGATAAGAGACAGGATACTTGCCGAGGGGCGATAATTGGCTCCATTATCAATTGTAACCATTTATCTATTTCGTGATGCGACCAGGGGAGGGTCTGTTAGTTTCACCCGTGCGCGCGTTATCAAGAAATACGACGCGCCGTAAAGGCGTCGGGCGCGGATAACGCGCGTCGCGTCGCCGTGACGATCGCGGGGAACGCGAATTCCCGTCGACGGTTACGTAATCGACGCCGACGTCCTCGCCGATCGTCGGATTCCACGGAAGCCGGCGGGGACCGCGTCGACGGGGACGCGACGGACTGCGCCGGGAGCCGCGATCTAGGTCACGCCGCGGCGTCGCGTCGCCGCGACGTCGCCGTCGCCGCCGCGCGCCGGCCGGCGGGGGGGGGGGGTAGAGGCCACCCGGGGCCGGTCCCGGCGACGTCGCGGCGCGGTCGGGCGCGGACGACCGGACNCCGGGCAATAAAAATNGAATAACATCGCGCGCCGCAGGGTGGGGCATGCCAATGGCTGGATAGCGTCACCGACGCTATCCCCCCGACACGTCGCCTCGCGCGGCGCGTCCTCGCCACGCCGGCGTCGCGTAGCGCGTCGGCCGATTCCCACGGGCGACGCCGCCGGGCTCCGCTGCCCCGCGCTCGCGGACCCCCGTCGACCTCGCCTCGACGGGGAGACGCGCCGCCGAGCGCGTGCCTCGCGACCCCGTTCGCGGGCGCGCGCGCGCCCGGTCGGCGTGGGTCCCGCTCCTTCCGCCTTCTCGCCGTTTCTTTTTTTTTCTCTTTTCTCGGACGCGGTTCCCTCGTTTTCCCCGGCCCCCCCACCCCCCGCGGTCCACCGTCTCTCAACCCGGACGCGAAGCTATTTCGCTCTCGCCGGACGCTTTTGGACGCGCGTCACAGATCGCCTCTCTCTCGCCCTCGCGCTCTCTCTCCTGCCGCCCCCGTCGCCCCCGAGGTCCGCGGACACGCGAGACCCACTCGCCGCGATCGCTCACCGTAATCGATGTCCGGCTGCACCGACGGTATCCGCAGGTACTCGCGGAAATTCTCCACAGCTGTTTCGTCCAGCTCGGCCCGCGACATCGTTCCGCGCTGGTCCATCCGCTTGTGCGACCTCGCTCCGCCGCGCCGCCCGTGATATCCACCCACGGGGCACCGGACGCGCTTCTTAAGAGCCCCGCCGCGCCGTCCGCGCGTCCGCGATAAGGCCGATAAGGCGTGCACGGCGTCCAGACGCCTGGCACCGTCGGGGCGATTCGACTGTCACCACAGCAGACGGCGGCGTCTCGCAGCGAGCGATCCGGAGTGCCGCCGCCGCGCGGCCACGGCCACACCGCGGCGGCGGCGGCGGCGGCGGCGACGGCTCGCCCAATTGCCGCCGGTTACCGGCGTTGACGTCACGGCGACTCGCTCGAATCGAATAACGCGGTTAGTAACAGGCCCCCATGCGCGCGCGAGCTTTCGCGCGTCCGCCGCGCCGCGCCACGTCGCGTAGCGTAGCGTCGCGTCGCGTCGCGTCGGGCCGAGCCGCGCCGGGCCCGGCGTTTCAAACCGACGACGGCGTGGCGACGCGGACGCTTCCGGGACGCATCCGGCGGCGTCCACGGTCACGCTTTCGCTCGCGGGAAAAGCATCCGCAACCGGATTCAAGCGAGAACTGTCGATTTAATTTTCCGAGTTTCGAGAACCTTTTTTTTCCCCTGGGTAGTTGCACGGTTCGGTCAATGCGCGGCTCTAGCAGGGTTCTCTTTTAAAAAGTTAAAGGAAACGCGACATCGCAACGAAGCCCGAGGATAGACGTGATATCAGGCCTGTTCTTTATTACTGCACTACTGAACTAGTGCAATTTAAAATGTTAAAAGTTAAAATGAAACAAATAGATTATCTCTCATTCCAACTCATTGCACCAGTGTGCACTAGTTCAGGAGTGCAGCAATAAAAAACAGACCCATCGTGTTACGCCCGGTCTACAATGAGTTGTTAGTCAGAAGTCGGAACTACATGTCGGTCCTTTTTCTTCCACCCAGAAAGGAAAAGGATCAACATATAGTTGCGACTTCTGACTAACGACTAACGACTCATTGTAGACCGGGCCTTACTGAAAATGCCCGTCATTTCGAGCGAGAGATAAAACAGTTAAAAGATGCGCGGTAGCAATCCTCTTATCGCGCGCCCACTTATTGTTGCAGATCCGAAATAAACAGATAAGCTTTTATCTGTGACACCGCGCGGTAAACAGGCTATTTATAATGCATCTGTTACCATGCTAATTTTCACTTTCGGTTACGCTCCGTCGTTTGTCTGATCGCGCACGAGGGGCGCGAATCAGCGAATTTGAAATTTCCACACAGATTGACCTAGAATCGTAGTTAAGTGGAATTGACACGCAGATTAAGTTCAAGATTTAACGCAATTGATAACATATTCTTGCAATTGGTTGCTACAAATAATTCTGTAAATTTTAATAACTCGGGATTAGACAAGAGTCTGCACTTGCTTACGCCTCATGCATAACACATTCCGATTTGATGGATCTTTCACGTCAGATGAGCGTGTGGCCTTCTTCACTAGACAAGTTCAGTCCCTCGACTTGCCGATCAAAGTCTACCACGTGGAAATAAATCGCGGATTTGCCGCATAAGGATAGATAATAGAAGCGAGGACGCAAAGTAATCGTATCGTAGTTCATTCTTCGGATTTCCAATAAAATCTTACAAAAGTCGAAGGATTGAAACAAATACACACACACACATATATATACATATGTACATATACAGGGTGAATTATACAATACAACTTTTTACAAAACTCGTGAGAAGGTAAAACGGACTGAGATAAACGAAAAAGTCCCGTACCATTTTGCGATATTCTCAGTAATAAACGAGAAATAAATGTTTAAAATCGAACGAATGAACGCGCAAGTTTTGTAAAAAGATGTATAGGTTCACCCTGTATATATGTTTCCATATTGACCGCCGCCGCCACAGGGATGACAGTACATTTTGAACCATGAACTTAAAGGACGAAGTATAAGCTAGATTAATTTAAACATTTGCAACGCTTGGTATTATTTTGGTATAAATCTCTATTCCCTTCAGGAATATATCCTTGTTCAGATATTCGTCGTTATCGTGAATACGTAGCTTCGTCTTGTTAATAGGTGAGAAGCAAAGAGCAGGAATACCCACCTGTGAAGTAAATATATTTGAAGTTATACTTTATATTTAAACAAGTTTAACAGAAGTAGAATACCTCTCGTCTTAATAAATATCACAAGTTATTTCTCATTTTTTTAAATGCAAAGCCGCTACCTTTAATCAAAAGCCTAATTATAAGAAAATATACAAAAATATATACAAGATATTACACCAGAATCTTTCATAGAAAAATGTTTATTAGATTAAATTCTTCAAGTGACTGGCGTAAATATAAAACAAAGAGAGCTAAATTTTCTAAATAAATATTGAACGTATTAATATGTACTTTGTAATAATTGCAATAACATAATAGACATATTTCTTCTTCTGTGTGTAATGTACAAAAAAAATTATCATTCACAGAACAGTTCCATGCTCACCCCTCGTATGAAACGACTGTCCGCGGCTCCCACTAAGATACCAGTTTCCAATTTGATATCAATTTCACCGCAGGCTTTTTTAAAGGCGATCCAGAAAGGATTAGAATCGTCGAGCTTGGTGTTTTCGACTTTGGGATTTTTTTCTTTGAAGGAATATGTCACATCTGGGCCAGCTTCCTTGCACCAACGTTTGATAGTAGCTTCCAATTCATCGTGATCAATGGTAGATGATAGACGAACATCGAACATAGCGTATAACTCGATGGGTATAACATTAGTCTGTACGCCACCCTGTAATTAAAGATGATTTTAAAACGATATTGAATAGAAAATCTGTCTATGAATATCTTAGTGTATCATACAAAGTTTAATGGCACAACCGTGTAAACTAATCACAAACAATCATGTAAGGACTTGAAAATTAATTTAATCAATTAATTTCTATCTTCATTAGTGTGTGAATTTTCAGTATGAATTCTATTCGACGTTTCTATACGTGAATTCAGTGCAAAAGTGAACGAAAGAGAAGAGAGACAATAATAATATTTAAATAGAAACAACTTGATGAATATCTCTTACAATTAGATAAGTTTTTTTAACGAAACCTTCGCGTGACACCTACCCAAATTTTCGTAAGATTCACAGACGTCACTCGGCCATAGCTATTCAACATTTTTAAATCTTCGGGGAGTTTCGCTTTCTCGGAGGCCCTGAAGTCCATGAAGCGGTCGATTATGACTCTCAATTTTTCCCCGGCCGTGTTGTCCGACATGCTCGACCCGTGACCGGGATTGCCCGCGCACTTTATTTCAACTTGCCATCTCGACTTGTCTCCGTTAAACATGTAGAAGTAATCGTGTGAGGCGGTCACGCCTTCGTCCAGCGCGAAAGCGACGTTCAGAGCTTTAAATTCCGCGGTGTGCACGAAGTCTTTCATTCCGAGAACACCGCCGATCTCCTCGTCCGGGACGAAAGAGACGTGGATAGTGCGCTGGCAGCGTTGTCCGTTCAGTTTCAGTCTGCGAATCGCCTCCAAGTACTGTATTCCCACGCTCTTCATGTCTTGGCTGCCGCGAGCGAAGATGTTGCCCTCCTCGTCCATGTGAGCGCTGAACGGCGGATAGGTCCATTTGTCCTGGTTCAGTTCACACGATTAGAATTGGGAACCAGCAAGTTGATTAAAACAACTTTACCGCAAGACTGATCGCTTACCTCGAAGACAGGCACAACGTCCATGTGACTGTTGAGGAGAATCGATGGCTTCGTCGGTTGAGTTCCCACCCATGTCAAAACCATGATCGGTTTCTTAGGGTGTATGTGATAGACTTTGATCGGCAAGTCAAGGGACTGCGCTTGTCTAGTTAGGAATGCGACACAATCATCTAGAATGGAAGGCGCAGCCAGTCAGAATGTATCATATGTAAGATTTCTAGTGCAGGCAAATGTAGACTGTTACCTTATGTGGCACAATGCTTCCCCCGTCATCAACAAATGACACGGAACGCGCGAGGAAACGCGTCGTTAAATGCATGCTTCGAATCTTGTTCGCGGATGCGACCGGTCGGGATTGATCTCGCTACTTTTTTTTGCTTACGGGGAATATAATCTCGTGTTTTGTCTCCGGTGCCTGTCCGTGTTTTTCTTGCGTCTAAAAACATTCTATTTTGTAGTCAATAAATACGTTAAAAAATGTGTCCAAGCTGATGAATTGTATAATCGTAAATTGTCGACAGATGTTTTAAGCATTTCAATTTGCTTATATAAAATAGAATGTTTCTAGACGCAAAGAGGACATTGTAGACTAGGTTTTAGACAGGCCTCTCTTTCTGTCCTCGCCCTCGACTGCCGCATTTAAATAGGTTTCCAAAATTTCACGGACTGTCGAATCTCACCCCCTGCGATCGCTCACCGTAATTGATGTCCGGCTGCACCGACGGTATCCGCAGGTACTCGCGGAAATTCTCCACAGCTGTTTCGTCCAACGACATCGTTTCACGATGGTCTATTTCCTTATGCTTCTTTTTCTTTTTAACTCAGTCTCTGTCTTTGTGATGTCTACTTTGCTTAAAGCCTTATGCAAAGTCTACACTTGTCCTCGAAAAAAAACCGATAAGATGCGCGCGTGTAGAAACCGTATTAAAAATTGTACGGAAATTTATTATCTTATTGTCTTATCTTATTGAGGGGCTGAACTAAATGATATATATGTGTCCATTTTCGAATGCGCATCACAGTTAACGGGCTGAAATAGATGACACATGTCCTTCAAAATAACGAGAAAACAGTTGCTTTGAAGTCATAATTGTTGAACATTTAGTTTCTGAACTCAAGAGTTGTTTTTAAGGAAGAAGAAAAATACTATATCAGTAAAGTGACGCACATAGCTAATTTCGATAACAAACGTAAAAATGTCGGGAAAAAATTAGTAATTTCGAACGAGAGATAGTAAAAATTGCCTGATAGCAATCCTTCCATCGTAGTTAGACGGTTACGCATTGCACGTGCTCTTATTTATTGCTTATTACTTACTTTGAACCAGTAAGTAGTGTAAACCCGTTTAAACCATCAGAACAATGCGATATCAGCACAATATACCGCACGTGGCGAATTTCGGCGCAGACGTAAAAGCGTCAAAACAACTATTTATCTTTTCATATCGTCATTTCTTTCAATTGCAATTGCTTGTGATTGCAAGCAAGAGGTAAATACTGAAAGTTGCGTGATAACTGCCCTCTCCCAATTAGACAGCAGCGCATAATAAATATTGTTATAATAGTCATTACATATTGCCGTACAATTGTCAAATAAGAAGACAAGATCTTGTTTGCGATAGCGCATAATAAATAAGCGCTATCTAAAACGTATCTGTTACTTTTCTAATTTTAACTTTCAATTACACTCCATCGTATATCTGGTCGCACTCAGGAGGCAAATGGCCGCTCGATCGTGGAAATAAGTCGCGGGATCTACCGCACGACGATGAGGGCGAGGATTCGTCAGTCAACATCTCGACTCGTAAAATGTATTCCGATTTATTAAATTTTTTCACGTATGCCTAAATATGAGCTCTTTACACGTTACGCCATAATAATATATCGTGTAGAGTTTGATATCGAAGAACTTGTTACATTTATTATAATCGGTAATATGGATTAAATTATCATACAATGTAATAGGTAATAATTGTAACATGGCTATAACTAGGCACATACATGTAACAGTGAGTTTGCAAATAAAAAAATTATCGTGTATTCTCAGCCTATTATATAAAGTTGAATATATATATGCGAATATAATATAATATTAATATAATATAATATAATATATAATAACTGCTATGCGCGCTCTGCTTTTATTTACAACATTGAAACGATTATCCTAACGAGTTCTTTTATACTATCAGATGCTTTAATAACAAGGTCGCTCCTGCTTCTATATGTCAGAATGTCATCGTACAGATATATTATATACATATATATACATATACGTACACACACACACACACACATATATATATGTATATAGTATCATCTATCAGAGAATTGTACAGCGGACAATAAACATATGGATTTAGCTGCAAAGCAATTGTTTCGTAGCTTGTTCTTCGGATTTTCAATAGAATTTTACGAAAATTCGAAGGATAGAGAGATATTAATATATATACGTATACATATGTGTACATATATGTACATATATGTATATATACGTATACACATTATATACATACACACATATATAATTAAATTTATCTTACAAAAATATGTACATGTTCACATTATGTATACGGGTGGCGAACATATGCTGTACACTCTTCTACCTCTCTGCGTCTAATGTTACGCCACTCGCGGCAATTTGTAACTTACAATAGTGTACACGTCTTTCTTCTTATTACAAAATATCAGCTAAAAAAGTAAATATCAAATGCCAAAAATACGTCTGTTTACACTTTGAAATCGCAGCCGAACGCAATGTAAGAGGGAAAGAAGAAGAAGGTTTTCGCGCTCGTCTACGGGGGAGATCCGTACATTCGTGCACCACGAATTATGCGCTGTGCATATACCGGCAGCTCCACCGGCTAAGAATATCCTCCCTAGAGAACGCATGAATTTTTTTACTCCACTTTTATAATCTTCGTTTCCTAATCACAGATCTCTAAACTTTGATATTCGCTTAAAAGTCGACAGTGCAGGATTGGAACCCCGCGCGTGTCCCGCTTTTCTTTCCTCTGTGCGCCACGTCGAAGACCCCGCACTGCACATTTTGCATCTTCGGTCAGGTAAAACTCTTATTAATATATCGGGTTACACAGCGGATGCGGTACATTTGGTACTTCCGAATGCTCCAGATGTTTTCGCTCTGTTCATTACACGTGGATCTTAATTCCACCACGGATGATACGGTATCGTCCAGTAGTCTTTTTTCGTTTCTTTTTCCCCCTCGCGCAATTTAAAAAAGAAACAATTTCTACGAGATTACCGTAGATTATTTCAAACAAATCCAACTTCAAGCTTTTCTTAATAAGTACGTCGAAAGTTTCTTGTGCTTTCTAAAATCGATTTTTACAGAGCGAAAATCTGTGACGCATCAATAACGCCAGGCATTGAATAAAAGTCGTGTTGCAAACGTTCCGAAGTATTTTTACGGTGAACCGCATCCATAGTTACATACTTTACAATCAGAAGACTACACAGGTCAAAGCTAAGAGAGTCTGCAGCTTCATGAAAAGTAACGCTTTTGTATTTCGTATAATAAATTAGAATATATATTTGCTTTTTCCATGCCAATGAGAGGTCTAAATGAGCTTATGGCTACATCCTTCCCTTCGAAATCGATTCTAATTGTCACTTTGATCGCAACATTACTTTAACATGTAACGCATTTATGTCTAAGAACTTCTAATCAACGTTACCACCTAATTGTACTATAATTAATTCAAGCGACACGGTCAGATTCTGCGAGAAAGTGAGTAATTATGACTCTTAGCGCTGCATAAATACGCATCATTTTGTTAACGAAGCAACTTAATTCTTCGTTGTTCCTCCTAATATTTATCACCACTCGCTCCTCGCGATTTCGGAAAAGTCTGCGACCGAAAATAGACAAACAATACATTATATTACAAAACAAAGGAAAATTAACTTACAAAGAAATTCCAACTTGGCTTCTCCTCGCGCATCATAACAAGTAACGTACTTTATATACACCTAGTAATCGCACCATCGAAATCTAAAAAACTTTTTATACGCTGTATATGTATATATATATATATATATTAATTCCAATTATATATAAAATACAATATATATATAATTTTTATTACATGGGTTAAGCTAGAACTAGACGGCCTCTAAATTATAGACAAAAAGGCGATTGTTCTGATCACCTTTGATTACGAGATTACATAATACACTGAATCATTAGTACGTGTCCAAAGGATGTCGCTAACGCGCAGCTAATTTTTAATGCAAATCTATCGCTCGGAATAAAGGATTATTATACTTCTTGTCAACGACAGAACAACGTCGTGTTTCGCGGACTAAACGGAAAGACCGTGTGAAGGAGCTCTCAGTTACAAAATAGACTACGAATCTTTCGCTGCATTAATTTACCATAATTTACCTCTACGCATTTTAATTTTTTACCGTATAGTAAGTTTTGTACTTGAATGAATGTTATGAGCGAATGAAATTTTGGGAGAAACCGATCTAAATAGAAAAAGGAAAACTTCGCAAATAGAACGTATTGTCACGCACCGTAATCTCTCGCGCTTTTCCTAACTAAACGTGTATCTGCGTTATTGCTTTAAAGTATCGAAGAGAATAAAACGTACGTACGTTATATCGTACCGTTTATTGCAACTGATCTGTCCTGCCCACTTACGATATCTCGTGTAAATTCATAAATAAATGTATTCCAAATAAAAAAACGTTTAAAGCGTTAAAAGAACGTCTGTCGCGCGTGTCGAGAATGCATCGCCTTCATACTAAAGAGATCGAACGGCAACGTGTGCAACCTTCACGAATTCCTATAAAATAAAACTCAAGTCTTTCAAATTTCAATATTTACCCTTTATTATTATAAATAATCTGCCCTTTTACAGTGAAATATAAAATATAGAGAATTCCGCGCCTCTTTATGCCTCTTCTTATATGTCAAAGAACAACACAACACAGTATTAGCTCACTTATCTACGTGTCATACTAGGTTTTGTTACGGTTACGATCTACAAACTAATCTAAATATGCAGTGTCATTAAATATAGCTGTATTGTTAACATTATGCATATGTATATGCAAATAATATGTACAGATAAGTTGTATTGTATGCAGGGTGCACATTGTATATATAATGATAACCGTTTTTAGAGGGGATATCGCGAGAGCAGCTGACTCCGTCGGCCGAGTAAAAGCGCGCTTCCAACTTTGTTAACACCTTATCAAAAAATTGGACTAATGCTATATATATAAACAATTTAGGGCACCATTTCACCGGTATAAAAAGTGTATGCCACTCGAATACACTTTTGGCCGTTGCCCGCGAAGGAGGTACCAATACAGCTCTCTTTCTCGACATATGCTAGCTAAAATGCGCGTCGCTATATCCTCAAAATACTCAGCTATCACCTTAGGCCACACGAATTCCTTCGAATATTTTGAGAGACAGAAAAAACCATCGAACCAACGTGTATCGGTAAACTTTAAATGTACGTGACAACCCTAGAAGCAATCGACAGCGCGAAACTAAAATGATTCTCTTTCTAATTATCTAGGAAATTGTTGGAATTCTGTACGCGGCGCACGCTTCCGCGCGAGATGATATCTCAGTGTCTCGTAATAAGAGAAGAATGCAAACTTCCACAGCGATTAGTATTCCATTTGAATTCATTCTTTGCCACTTCTCCCAAAGAAACGAGCCTAAAACTTGGTCTCGTCGACAGGAGGGCGGGCAAGATGATCAGTTTAATCGAGACATCGCGGAAAATGTGAAACAACGTCGGTTTAAAACTTAAGAACTTTTAACAATCCTACCCTTTTCTGTCGGTTACGATCTCGGCGCTGGGTGGTTAAAAAACGGCTTCTGCGGCTGTCCCGTCGGCGCCGGAAGATACGACACCTGCGTGCCCGGGGGCGGCGGCGGCGGCGGCGGCGTCGCCGACGGGAACTTTGAGATCGGCACCGCCGTTCCCGTGGCCGGCGGCGGCGGCGGTGGCGGCGGCAGCGACGGCGGCGGAACGAATTGCGGTGGATACGGATTGGAACCCGGTGGCGCCTGGGACGATGTCTGGGGTACCAAGAACTGCGGCTGTTGCGGCTGTTGCGGCTGCTGCGTCTGCTGCGTCTGCTGCGTCTGCTTGCCGATCGCGGCCGCTTGCGACGGCGTGGCGGTGCCGTATATCGGTTGTTGGGTCGTCGTCGGCGGTGGTACCGCGAAGTTCGGATACTGCACCACGCCGGGTTTGCTCTGGAACTGAGGATAATGGATGGACGCCGAGCCGGGTGGCGGTATGTACGGCTGCGGTGGTAACTGCGGCAATCCCGGATATCCCGGCGAGACACTGGCTACCAAGTTGTGAGGTGGAGACTTGTGTAGGAGATTTGACTTCAGTATCGCCTCGGCTGTCAAACCTGTAAGCAAGAGAGAAAGGATAACGTACGGAGTAAGAGCTAGCATCTTACGGTAGCGCTGTCATCGCTCTTCAAGTGTTATATTTTTAGATTTCTTCGTTTATCTAAAATGAACACTAGTTTTTGTCTTCTCCAAGAAGACTGCTACATTCTTTCCCGGTCATGTATCTCTTTAAAATATGTACCCTGCTTGCGAGCCCTCTCCTCCTCGTCGTCGCTAAGGAACAATCCGAATTCGCGTTTCAATCGCTCGGTGAGATTTTCTCGTTGACGCTCCACCAAAGTTGGTGCGGCGGACCAACCGATTGCACCTTCCTCGCCGCCTAATTAAAATGTTAATTCATCATTTGTCGTATTGTTTTAAAAGTTGCCTTGGTGCAATCATTGTCTTCATTTAGGGAAATATTTGGAGAGTGGCTGTTACCTTTCTTCTCATCGTTCTCGTTAGCAGCATTGGGGAAGAGTGTCAACGCGTTGGCTCCTGTCAAGTCGAGCGAGAGCGACGCTTTCGAACCCTCCTCGTCGGAGCTGAGCGAAGAAGTGCCGCTGCTGGCGCTGTCCGATCTACCTCGCGCCCCACTTTTGTCCGTGGCAGAAGCGTCGTTCGACGATTCCGGCTCGGCTCCGGCTCCTCCGGATGACTGTTGCTTCCGTTTGCGATACTCCGATATGGACAACTAGAAAGATACATAAACATTTCTATAAAATAAAGCCGCCTTTTACTCGCGAGAAGAATTTAGAAGATTGTACGAAAACGAAAAGGAACTTGGAGATTTTACGCAAAACAGGGCTGCAATGACGAGAATAACGGTAGTAAAAAATAGTGAGACAGCGGGATACCATTCTCACAGCAGCACAAAAACATTACTACACTCATACCCTGCTAACCTTGCGTTTGACGGGAGGAAGAGAGTCCGATTTAAAAGCTGGCGCTGGCATACTGTTCGGCACAACGGTCCTCGGGTCTTTCAACCGTTTTATCTCTTTGGGTTTGGTCTCTTCCTCCTTGGCAGGAGTCTCTTCGGGCTTCGGGGCTTCCTGAGTCGAAACCGAATCTTGTACTGTGTCTAAACTATGTTCAGAGGAGTCTGATTTTGGTTGAATTACTTGTGATGACGCGTTAATCTTATTATCAATGTCATTTTTCATTACTTCGCCCGTCGGCTCGTCGTCCAGTTTCGCTTCCAAGAGTTCGCGCAGCGCGGTTGACAAAATTGACTTTTGCTCGCCGTTCTTGGACCCGTCCACTGCGTCCATACTTATCGTGGATTCTATGATAGCCGCCTCAAAATCCATCTTGGGCGCTTTCGGCGTGGCGGACGGATCGGCCTTCTTGCGAATGCGCTCGCTCAAAGGTGGAATCGAGTGAAAGATCTTGGGAGGGTCCGCGATGGACTCCGCGTCCATGTTCGTAGAAGCCGATTCGAAGATGGATTCCTCCGACAACGCGGCGAGGGCTGGCGACTGTTCGGCCTTAGAGTCTTCCTTTGCGGGCTCGTCACTCGCATCCTGATCCGTCTCTTTCGCGTCGTCTTCTTCCGCAACAATAATCTGTTCCGGTTTAGAATCGGGTTTAGTGTCCGATTCTTTGAAAGGTGTCTCCTCGTGACTGATAGCAAACAACTTAAAGGAAGATTCGCAGTACTTGTCATCGTCCACGTCCTTATCCTCGGAATCCGAATCCTCCTTCGAGCTCTCCATTAGACCCTCTATTCCGTCCATGCTCTTGTCCTTCTCCGAACTCGTGTCGATCTTCTCCTGATAGTCGTTGCCGTCGTCGCCCGTGATCTTCTTCATCTGCGCCTCGACGTCGAATTCGTCGATGGATGCGTTGTCGTCCGACTTCTCGACCTCCTGGCACTTTGCAGCGGCTTCGGACGGTTTCTTCTCGTCGTTGGATCTCTCGTTTTCGCTACTGACGATGTTCACGATCTCGGAGATGGCACCGCCAAACTCTAGCTGCATCTCGACCACTCGCTGTTTCAGAATCGCGTCGGGCTCTATAGTGGCGATGGGAGAACTGAATTCTTCCATCTCGGTATCGGGTTCGTTCTGATCGATTATCTCGACCGTGCCTTTAGCGACAACCTCCTCCTTCACGAAAGACTCTTTCTTAACTTTCTCGACGGCCTCTCGAATTGTCTCTATTATTTTCTGATTTAATTGATCGTAATTGCATTCAGATTTCGTATCATCTCCCTCCCACTTCGGAGAAACTTTTTCCTTCTTCGTCGTAACATTTTCCGCGTCCATTTCACAAGACACTTCCGTTTTAACGATATCAGAGCATTCTGTTTTTCCTTCGCGTTTTATATAAAGTTCTGATTGAGGAATATCAATTGCGAGTTTCTCTCGATCAGGTTTGTCAGAATCTACAGGTCTATCGTCCATTTTGATTTCCTCTTTCACAGCTTCTGAATCGTAGTGTTTTTCGTCGATCTGTTCTACGATAGGTGATTGCACATGTTCCATATAGTCATCCTGGAAAAAAACAGTAAAATATTAGCGATATTATATACAATTTATTTTGTCGCGCGTATTATAGAGACTGAACATTAAAACAATTATCTAACTAAAACTGTGAAACTTACGTCAGCAGAGCACAGTAATCTGTGGTTAGGCGCTGCTTCGCTCGGAAGTAGCATGGTCGGCGTCGTCGGCGGGGTGTAGTTGTCCGATGACAAGCTCTCCCGAGCTATTCTCCGTTTCTTGGGCGGTGCTACCGTCTCGATAAGCGACGGTGGGCTTTCAGGCCGGCTATTGGGCGAATCGCACTCTTCAGAGATCGCTTGGCGCAACCATCGCTTCTTCGCCGAGCCTGAGGATACAGCGGGACAGCCACCGTTGCCGTTGTTGTTGTTGTTATTACCAGGAACCGCTTGCTGTTGCTGTCTACGCTGCGGCGGCGAGTCGCATATCCCGCTAACCGAGTTGGCAGCTTGCACAAGGGTAGCTAGGCTCTTGGCCGCGTAACTCTGCGACAGGAAATCCGCCGATGTTTCTGCTGGCGTTGGCGGGAAATGCCTGCCGCACAGCGGGTTCATGGAATTTTGTAGAACTGGCGGACCGGCGGATGGTAGAGCAGACAGAGGCGACACTTGAGGTATATTAGCTTGTGGCGGATCGGGCGATTCCTTCAGCCATTCATTCATCAGCACCTTCTTTGTCTTTGGGAACTTGAAACCGGGAGCCAACGGGCCGACCGCGGCGGCCACTAGCAAGCAGGCCGACGACAACGGTGTCGATGGCGTGGAGCTCTGCGAGCTACTGCTGGCTCCACTGTCGCAAGTAGGACTCTTGACGGGAGTAGGTTGTTGTAACGGCGGCGAGCTCGGCGGACCAGGAGCGTTCGAATTTGCCAAAGCCAGCAGCAAGCCAGCCGCAGTGGGAATTCCTTGGTGGCTACCGGACGATCCGGTGCTAATATTGCCCGTCGTGCTCTTGGTCGGAGTGTGCAAGTGCGATGAGTAGGGAACGTCTCGGCTGAGCGGACGATTCTGACCCAACAGAGGCGGTGACTGCATGGAATTGCTCTCATCCCCGGAGGATACGTCGGACTCGGCCGAGTTCAATCTCGGTCTTCGACCGCTGCCCTGAGACGAGCTTGTCGTTCTCGCCCGACCTTTTCTCCTCCTTCGCCGCAGCGGTCTCTCCAAGTTCGTCTTACTATTTTTGGACTGTCCCGTCGACGAATGATTATCCTCGTTGTCGCTGTGCGTACCGCCCGATTCTTTCCGTTGCGCATTTCTCGCTTGTACTTCCTGCTTCCTCTGCTCCGCCTTCTCTAGCCTCTCGAAGGCCTTCATGATCGCTTCCATCTTCCTCTCTTCCCGCGTCATCTTCTTTTTATCTTTCTTCGTTTCCGGCGTCGTCGTCACCGACTGACTCAAACTGGGCGACGTTTGAGGTTGAGTGGTCGTCACCGTCGCGGTGGTATCTTCCTTGGCAACTTGGCGAGCCGTTGTAGTCGTAACCGTGGTCGTGACGGTTTTCTTCGGGGTCACAGGAGTCACCGTCGACGGCGCAGACGACGTTGCGGTTGTGGTGGTTTGCGTGACACTCGTAGGCGGGACTGCCGGTGGCGTGGAATCGGTTTCTTCGCAGACTGTGTTCCTTCTACCCCGCCGCCTTCGTTCTCTGCCACTGGATAACAGATAAAGAATACATTACAAATATATATATATATAAAATACCACGTACATTTTATCACTATTCGCTACGTGAACCTACTCGGCATTTTCGACGAGAGCGCCGTTGCTACCTCTTCTGCTCAGCTGGCTCGCCGCGTTCGCGATTTGACACTCCCGCGGATTGTTACACGCGCATACAACGGGCAGCGCGGGGGAATTGGAATTGGGTGACAGCAGCAGATCGTGCTGCTCGTGTTTGATCGTTATCTCGGCGTTCTTCTCGATTGCACATGTCGTCACAATATAGAGATGCAGCGTGCCCTTCTCGATGCAGTGCTTCACCTCGGCATTCGGCTTACAACTGCGCCGCACGAACCTCGCCTCGTTTCCGTACGCCCGCGTGTCTACGCACACCTCGGTGCCGTCGCGTGGCAGGCGATAGAAAAACACAAACGGTCCTGGCCGTTGTACGTGCTGCCTCCCGCTTTGTGTATACTGTAGTCGGTGTTGCGTGCTGAGCATATATTTGCCGCGTAATTCCACGACGGGGGTGTTTGGCGGAAGATACATTGTCGCCACTAAAAACTGCAGAAACGAAAGAATTTTTTAATAAACATTTTAGTACACATTTCTATAAGGGGAATAAAAATTTTAACATTTTTTTCATCTTATTTCGTTTATATCCAACGTGACATTTTACTTACTTTAAGATTATTGCTGTGCACATTGAGTCTGGATTTACCAGTGGCAACAACATTCATGTTACTTTGCCTGAGATCACTTTGTGTGCCGTTGACTTTGATATTCGATATCCTGGCTCGCAACTCGGGACTATAATGATTCGTAACGATCTCTTCGTAATCTTCGATCCATTGTCTTAGGGGCGTCATGTTGGTGCTCCAGGCATTTTGCACATCCTCCTCTTTGTCCTCGAGACTCGTTCTCCTTTTGGTCTTACGTTTTCCAGGTCCTCGTTTCGGGGTAGTGTTCTCCTTCTTGCGGACGACGCTCGGTTGTCGGGCTTGGGAGTCCCTTCTCTGCCTCTTCCCAACGTTGTTATTGTTGTTGTTGTTATTGTTTAATCTTCGTACTTGCGACGACTGAGCGGACGTGTCGGATTTGTTGCGCCTCGGAACTTGCGGTTGTTGCTGCGAAAGCGAGCGTTTCTTCTGCGTCGTGGCGTTGTTCATCGAGCCGACGTCCGTATCCGCCGAACTGGTGGACGACGTGTCGGACGATGTATCCGAATTGAGAAGCTCCTCGCGCTTACGCATCTGCAAAGCGCGCGCCCGCTGTCTGTCCACTCGTCGCGGCCGGCATCTCTCGCAGAGGTATTCGTCAGGAATGTTTGAACGGTCAATGCCCATGCAATCGACGTGCTGCCATACTCTGCGGTTATCAGATTTCGATGAGTGTTTTATTCGTCAAAAGTATGATACGTAACAATTCGGGCAATAGTTATTTCTTAATGTTATATAGCATGAGAATCAATGATAAAGTTCTTAATTTATTTTCTACGCGTTTCTTTGGCTATATTCTATATCAGGTAGTGGAAATACTATTAAATACTCACAAGCATCGGTCACAGCATATCATGTATCCATCGTCATGTTCAAAGTCACTAAAAATAATACATCAAACATTACCATATGCATTATGTATGTATGCTGTATTATCTATCTACAGAATAATTTTCTTATTCACTCACCAGATACATCTAGTAACACTGTCCTCGTCGTCACCCTCGCCTTCGGGTGCTGTTTCCGTTTCTTCACCTTCCGGTTCCGCCTCCCGTCCTGCTTCACTACTGATTGCGCTGGCAGCATCATCCTCCACATTGGTATTGCTCACAACTTTAATTAAATAATATTATTATTAACTTTTTAAATTCTGTGTTAGAAGGTACTTTTTTCATTTGTGAAAAATTTCGAGAACAGTGATTCTTGGGGGAAAAAAGTAAAACAGATATACATTTATAACTGATGCAATCGTATAGTAATATCAAGGACATTACCAGGACCAAAGATGTAAGGATGTTGCGAGGTAGCTGTGGAACTGCCGGCTCCATTAATGGGTTGTTGCTTCGGATGAGGGGGTGGCGATGGAGGCGGCGGGGGTGTTCTTGGCGGTGGCGCTCCATAATTATGGTCCTGAAGAACAAACTGAAGACACTGCAACAAGAATTCGTTTTTAAGTCCAAACTATTCGTAATCTCGAGATACACACAAAAATACAGAATCTTGTAAGCGAAGCAGTGAGGATGCTTCATAACGTATAAATTTGTACCTCGTAAGGAAGCGGCATTCTTCTTACTGGCGATTTAGGGGTGCTCTGCTCCTCTTCCTTGGACATCCGCGACTCGTTGTCGTTTCTACAAATAACATTATTTCATTTTATTTCGGCGATCATGATCGGATTAGTGAAAGAACAAGGACAATGAAATAAATTCACCGCAGGGTGTATGTACGCTTAAGCTTACTTGTTCTCAGTGAGGTCTTTACGAGGTTCAATCGTAGCCGAGGTTAGCGGGAACAGGGTTTTTATTTGCCCGGCCTGTTGCCGGATCTGCTGGGTGTATTGCGGCGTCATGACCAGTTGTTTCTGCTGTATCGCTTGCTGGTGGATCTTAATCGGCGAGTTTTTGTGCGGAGCCATCACGTTGGACGATGCGATCACCGTCTGCTGCGGCAGTAGGGTTTTGATACATGTCTTCGGTGCTACTTGCGTCGCAGTCGGGCCTTGAGCTTTCGTAAATCCCGTTACATTTGGACTCAACGCGGGTTTAACACCAACGCTGCCGGTTTTCTGAGTGTGATTTCTCTGCACGGGTTTCTGCGGCGGAATAGTTTTGATGCACCCAGGCTGTTTTTGCGGCGCGTTTTGCGGACTGATTACATTCTGCTGCTGCTGTTGCTGTGGTGGTTGAACGATTTTCACGGATTGAAGAGGATTGTTATTTCTCTGCACCACAGGCTGCTGAATGACATTATTTTGGGAATTCGCAGTAGCCTTGACAGTGTTTACTACAGGTTTTTGCGAGATAGTCTTTAGACCTGTTGCAGTTTGTGCAGCTTGCGTCTGGCCCTTCGATATCCCTACCCTCATCACCGTGTGTTGCTGCTGCTGCTGCTGTTGAACTTTCGAGTTCATCACAACCGGAGTTCTTTGATTGTTCGGTACAGACGTTATCACCTTTGAGTGCACATTAGTAACACTGTGACTTCGTTGAATCTGTACGTTATTCGCGTTTGCTGATTGCTGCTGTTGAGATTTTTGAATTATTTGCTGCGAACCCTGTAACAACTGCGCAGGCGCAGGGTGCACCTGCGTGTGCTGCTTGCCCAGCGTGATTACGTTTGTGCCTTGCGATTGTTTCGAAACATTCGGCACACTGTTGCTCTTGCAGACGTTACTCGTCGCGGTTTGCAACTTGGTGGTTTGTACTGTCGTCAACGTCTGAGATTTTTGCAGCCCGGTTGCCGTCGATTGAGTCCTCGTTTGAGATACCACCGCTTGCTGACACGCCATGTAATGCCCAGGTGACTGATACTTTTGTACACCGGTTACAAGGCTATTAGATTTCGAGACATTGTTCATCTGCTGCGCGCTCGGTTGGAACTGCGGCCTGCCGACGGCCAGCGATATCTTCTGAGGCACCTGCAACTTCTGCAAACCATGCTGCTGCGTCTTGAGATTTGGAAGGTGGTTGCCGCTCAACACCGGAACTTTCTGATTGTTGCAGACAGATTGGAGCGTTGTTTTCTGCACATTTGTCACATTGGCAGGTTGCGTCTTCTGTATCGTCGAATTGCCCAGCTGAATCTTCTGCGGGTTTGCGTTGTTCGCGTTCGTTTGATTGTTTATGAACTGACCAGGTGTCAATACTCGTGTCTTCGGCACGCTCTGTGACTTGGACAGGGAATTATTGAGTTGTGCGAGCATAGTAGCTGGACTGATTACATTCGCCACGGCCTTGATCTTTTGCGTAGATTGACTAGTTGAGACGATGCTTTGCAACGGTTTCGTGTGATACCTTTGCAAATCCTTTGCCTTCACCGTCGTAGTAGAGGTGCTCATGGAGTATACTGGCTGTAGCTTGTGATGCAACGTGGTTTGCACACTGCTCGCCGCCGTTACCTGTTGCTGCTTGTTACAATGGATAAGGTCAGCGACCGCAGCCGGATTCTTCGACTGATACATTGGCTGATGAGGGCTCTGTACCGCAGTCACGGTTGCCTGCCAAGGGCAGGGGACGCCGCTACTATTGGGAGACGGTGAGGACGTCGAGTTGGTCGATGTTTGAGAGGAAATGTTGAGGGTCACCGGGGCAGACTGCGCCTGATCGGTGGACGAAGGCGGTAGCTTCTGCGAAATAACGCGTGTCGTCAACACCTCCGTGGTGTTGGTCTGCGAGCTGGCGATCATTCGGTGCACCTGCTCCCTGGCGCCTTTGGCGACCGGATAGGTCACAACAGGCTTCACCGTCGTGAGAGTGGACGCAGTGATGACCGACGTCGGCTGCTGCTCCTGGTTGTTGCCCGTCGCCTCCAGACACTGCAACAGCTGCGACTTGCCGCCATTGGTAGCCGCGGCGGCGTTGTCGCCGCTGCCTCCGCTCGCGATTACCACGGCGTTCCCTGTCGTCGTGATAGCGCCAGTAGCGACGGCAACGGGCTCCTGAGACCGCCATATCTCCCGAGCGAACAGCAACGTCGGCGGCTGTGGTCCGTCACTTTCGACGCCGTCCTTCGTCGCGTTCTCCATCACCGGTGCCGCCGCGGCCTCCACGTCCAGCTTTAGAACGAAACTCATGGTGGTTTCGTTAGCCTGGCCGCATTCCTTCTCCACGTCCGCGGACGTAGACTTGGCCGGTCCGGTTGCCGCCGAGACGGCAGTTTGCTCCGCTTCGTCATCGTTGCTTTCTGCGGCTCTCGCGTTCTCCTCGCTGACGTGACCGTCACCACCGATCAACGAAGACACCGGGGGAGGTGGGCCAGGCCCTGGGGACAGTTGCTCCCCACTGCCAGCTGTTCCACCCCCCGATAACTTGATTACCGATGGGGTCGACGTTTTGGTAGCCTTACGGGAGCACGCCAAGTGGAAACTCGCGAGCGAGTTGCGCGACCGGTCCAAGGACTGCTGGCTGTCGTCCTCGCCCGGTTCCGGCTTCACCAAGTCTAGTTCTCGATTCGGCTATTTGAGGACCGTGGACCATAGGCTGTAAGAGAGAAGAAAAAAAAATCAAAATTACGACTGCGAAGTCGGCATTCAAGCCATTCTGTTAAAGGGCGGCGCGACTTTACTAGATTTCGTTTGCCACTGTAATATGGCAAACCAATACCGAAGGGATTAAGCTCTGCGTTATATCGCAACATTTCACGTAACGATCCATTTAAATGAAAGAGCCTGTGTATTTCTTAAAATCTTTCGATCCGCCTACACACACAGACGCAGAACGTACGGAACGTTTCTCATGGTAATCGCTAAAAGAACAATTTAGGCTCGGTTTTACCAATGTGTTTAACTCTAAGCTTATCGTTAGCTTAATTATCCTTTCCAACTGTTTCCTTGGAGGCAAACAATGAATGAAACTAAGATTACAGTCAAGCGACGTTGATGAAACTGGACCTTAATGATTCGTACGTAATTAAATTGACTAGAGAATTCGCGAAGGCGTCGCCGAGAATTGTTTAGCTTCAGCGAGATCTACTGTAAGCGCGCGTCATGCTAATCAGGGGCGTCGGGTTTCTTCCGGAGATTTCCCAGCCGGGAAACCGGTGGGCTTCGAGGCGGACGGACGCCGCCGGCTTCAAGAACACTCGGCAATGTGGGAGTTGGTCTCGAAGTTGTCGGCACGTCCTACGATTGACGCGAGCGAGCGCCGAGAAAGACGGAAGTGCGCGCTCCGCGGAGCGAGAGATCTCCGCGGAGCGCAGATTCCGAGCAACTTTCTCGCAAAGTACGCGACGTTCGCGGGGCTGCCGCTGGCTGGTGTTCGGTCATTGATCACCGCCGCGCGCGTCTCACGTTCCTGTCCGCGTTAGCGCGCGCACGATGGAAACGCAAGGCTGCTTCACTTAACTCGATAAAGGAGCGTGAGACTCTTTAAGGTGCGGAAGCCGGCGCGAGACGACGAGTCTTGAGTCCTCGCGAACGAGGATCGCGGATCTCGCTCTCCGTTTTTCGCAAACCGCTGACCAAAATCATGTACCCCAATGCCTACTAATATCCAGTGGACATTACTTAATCTTAGTATCTTCTTTGCTCTTATTTTATCTTTATAATGCCTCAGCAAAGTCTGATGCCCAAAAAATGCCTAGTAATGCCGCAAATCTGTACACTACAATGCCTTCAGCGGTTTACTCTTCGGGCGGATGAAATATGAACGGAAGAATTACTATTCGGGGAAATTCGGAGGATTTCCAAAAATACGGTGGCAGTTTGTCGATTGTATTCGCGTAACACGCCTGGAGAACCAGCGATAAGTTATTGCGGCGAAGTGTCGCGTCGAATCCAGCTCGACGTAGGCCTGCAATGCACTAAAGATTCTCTTCCCTTCTCTCCACGTGGATGGAATCGCTTCATCGGGACGGCGCGCGATTCTAAGAACCAGATTCTGAATAATGCGATTATCGTCAACTTGGGCGAATGCATTTGAAATCATCGCGCGCCGGAATTTCCTGCGATACTGCACTATTGAATCCCCGCTGGTCAGCCGCGGCTCGCGGCCTCGTGCGCAAAAGGAGGAAGACGAGCGACACGTGTGCGCTATCGTCGGAGATAACGGATTATGACGAAATCAACTGTTTACGCGGCTAATTACCATGTGCGGTTCCGCTTACGTTCGGCGCGGCCGAGCCCTAAAGATATCTGTTAAATTAACACAAATTTTGCAACTGTTAATTGATTCTCTGTCTCCTCTTAGATAGCAAGATGGAAAAAGTTAGGAAATTGGCTGAACTCCGGTTAACCGACGTTTGTGAAACAATTGGCCCCTTGGATCCGCGGTGATGGGCAGCTGATCGGGGAAAATCCATTTGCATTCCGAATCGAGCGACGCCGCGGCCGTTCGTCCATTGACGATTCTCCCTCGTCTCGCAGTCGTCGCGACGACCCCGGCGGCTTCTACGCGTGCCGAGATACGCGCGGCCTTCGACGATAACTCCTCTCGCTGGAACCGAAGCGGCGGCCAAGCGAGCGTCGGTTAACCGAGGTTGCGCATCGCCGGCGCGTTTAATTTTAAACGGGCATCCGCGAAATGAATCACCGCGGTATTATTCCAGATGGCCGCGAAATCGCGCGGACGTCTCACGTCGCGATTCGCGGCTGCGATCCGCGACGAGATCGGGTGGGGGGAGGGGGGGATCGCGGGAGGATCGCGCGGTTGCGCGCCCGACTAAATATAATTGTCCGGGCCGCGCGGCGCTAACCCCGCGCATTAGCGACATTCACACTTGTCAGTTATATCCGCGGTACAACGCGGAGTATTCCGGAGGCACGCCTGTGACCCTTCCGGAATCGCGAGGCTAATCTCGTCCACCCGCGCCGGTACGCCCCGCCGATCTCCATATTAATCTCGGTATCACGTTGGAATCAACGGCGTCCGCGCGACATTTCTACGTTTGCTACATGAATTCAATGAGTCTCGCGACGTCCGAGTCGCGAGGCGGAAAATGTTAATCCGCTGGTCGTCTCGTTAAAGGTTAAACAAGTTGAAACGTGAACGCGGGGCTGTAATCGACATTGAAGCCGCACAATCGCGATCGATCGACGGTGCCCCCCGTCGCGAGAGTCGCCGATAGGATCGAGCGTCGTGAAGTCGCCGCGGGAGCGAGGCGAGTGAAGGCAGGCCCGCGTAAATTCGCCGTCTCGATATCGAAGGGTACGCGGGACGGCGGAGGAGGGAATTAGAAAGTCCCCGCGCGCGATTTTCAGCGTGTCTCGCGGGCGAACGTGCGAGAGATTGCATCGGGTGGGCCTTAAAGAGCCGATTTTGCGAGAGCGGCGGACCTTTTCTCTTTCTCGTGACCGACTTCGGACGTATTGTTCGGTCGTCGCGCGGCGAGAGAGAGAGAGAGAGAGTTCCGCGGAACGGCAGCCGTGACGCCGCAAGACGCGCGCCCGCAGTGGCGGGAGAAAGTCTCGGATTTAAAATAAAACAACGATACCCGCCAAGTAGATCGGACCCCACGGTTGCGAACGTGCGCGCGTCAAGCCCACGCGACCAAGAGTTACTACTATTTCTATGAAAAATATTTGTATTCTGTTTCACCTCGGTTTGTTGCACAGTGGTGGACAGAACGGTTGCGACCGTAGACATAATATATCTAGACCGAGCGTTTGCCTTTATTTATCGGTTTTGTACTATTTCGTTCTCTCTTGTTCACATGCGAACGAGCTTGTCCTTTTCTACGTGAACCTCTACCGCCCACTGCTCGAATAAAGGCAAAACGCTCGGTCTAGATATATTATGTTTATGGTCACAACCAAACTCTGTTTTGTGCTATTTCGTTTTCTCGCTTGTTCACATGCGAACGAGAGAAAACGAAATAGCACGAAACAGAGTATTCCTTTTTTTACGAGCTGATTGGGAGCAACGCAATTGCGTTAAAATGACGCTTTTATGTGGCGATATTTAAAACAACGATGTAAACGAAGAGAAGCGACAATGAAAATCATTTGCCGTCAAAAATCAAAGACCGAGGGTGCGAGTCGCTGGCACTTTCAGCCGCGAATGACTATCGAGCTTTGAAAGTCTCAATTGCGCCTTTAGCCTTTAATGACTAATCTTTCAAGGTACCGGCGCGAGGAGAATCATCGATCCTCGCGCGTGTCCCGCGCGCGGAATTAACGAGCTCTCGTGGCGGCCCGCGGCGGAGTGCAGCGCGCTGCTGCACCTCAAGGTGCACCGGCGGCGGCTGTGCTGTGGTGGCATCTCGTTGTTGGCAGCAATGGGGATCCGCGGCGACCTACTTGGCGTACCTCGACCCCCTCAGTACATCGATTCGAACCGAAATTATTTCCGAGCGATTATTGTTCCCGACCACCAGCCCACCTCTGGAGGATGCCCCCCTCTCTCTCTCTCTCCTCGAGCGCGTCTCCAAAATAGAAATCGAACGTATTTCCGAATCGGCCTAGGCATCAACATCCCGGCAATATGGCCACGACTTCCTGTACCCCGCGCGGCGCATCCCTCCCCCGCGTCAAAGAGTTTTCGGAGGAAAATGAATCCCTCCGCATCGTCGTAGATTTGGCTTCCCCCTAATCCGCGATTTCCGTTGAGATCCGGAGCGAAATGTAGTCTCGGGAGCAGGAGAGATCCGTGACGGATCGGCCATTAATTTACAGCGCGCTTCGTAGAGCCTCGGCTCCCTCGGAAGCGAACGCGTCGGTATTCCAGCGTGGCACCGCGTGGCAGATGCGTTTCTGCAATGCGAATTTCTTTAGGCGCGGCGAACGACAAGCGCCGAAGGAACGCCTATTACGCATTTATCTGCTGGAAACAATGACCTCATCGTGTCGAGCGTTACTATGAATTATTTACGATCGCGCGTGGAAACTTCTTTGTTGCCGCGCTGCGCGTGCGATATATGCAGATTCACGTATTACACCGATGTGCAGTTTAAGATATAAAACGATCCCACCTTTGATCTTGTAACGATAAGGAGAAAAAAAGATTCTAACGTCCTTAATGAGCAAAAAATTGTCAACTCTCGCTTTCGTTTAAAAGGCGGAAAAACGCCACGACAAGGTCTCTGGATTACAGAGCGAGATCGTGCATCTCTGATAACCAGGCAACGTATGGAAATAAAATGATAGCAACTGATGCTAGCCCTTCGCTAGGGCTAGAATGAGTTCAAGGTTTGAGTGATTTAAATACAGCCAGCATAATGTTAACATATTGTCGTAGTTAAGCGCAGAGCTAAAGACAAAACCGAGGGGGAAACCGCTGAGGGGGCATTGTGGTGCACAGATTTGCGGCATTACTGGGCATTAGTGGGCATTGGTGTACAAGATTTTGGTCAGCGGTTTCCCGATCGGAAAAAGCACATCAATGGACATATTGTTAACAAAGATTTAGCGTACATTGTTTTCAATTTTCTACCAGATACAAAGATATTACATCTATTACATCTGGTGAAGCACTTGATGCTAGCACAATGTTTGAATCGTATGCAAATGTTTCATTTCCGACATCAAATGCTAGCAAACAACAGC